CCGCTGACTGTGGTGGCCAGATGGACAACCAATCTCGATCGCATGGGGAAGTTTGACATCATTTACATTGACTTCTCAAAAGCTTATGATAGGGTCAACTAAATGTGTCTTATCAACAAGCCCAAACGATTAGGTATCAAATTGCTTTTAATTGATTGACTTAGTTTATTTCTAAAATATCGACATTTTAAGGTCAGTGTTAACTTCACTTCCTCTCAGGCTATGGAATGTCCTGATGGAGTCGCCAGGGTACAGTAGTAGGACCTCTTATTTTCTTGATTTATATAGACTATCTTCCACAACAGGCATCGTCAGATTTATTGCTTTTTGTTGATGATATGAGACTTTGGAGAGAGATACGCAACCAAGAAGACAAATCGGCACTTCAAGAGGATCCGATTAAACTTCAGAGTTGGGCAGATGACAACAAACTTATTTTTAACACTTCAAAGTGTAAAGCAGCTCACCTGAGACATGTTGCAGACTACGCATATAACCAAGTTCATTCTCCTCTAGAGACATCTCAAGTTGAAAAACATCTGGAATTAATGGCACCCTATCATCTGTAGTCTTATAACAACTGCAAGAAAAATGCCTTTTGAGCAAACCTTGTACTAATGTCGTTGAAGCACATTTTGTCCAGTTTGACGGACAACCTTTCCACATAATCTTCAACAGTTTGATTCGTCTCCGTTTAGAGTACGGAAACATAGTATTTTCTCCTTCACTCCAAACTGATAAGGACATTCTGGAACATATCCAACGACGAGCCACGATATTAGTCCGGGGACTCTAATTCAAGCCTTATGATGAGCACCTCCAATCACTGAACCTTTACCCATTAGAGTTCAGGCTTCTTAGAAATGACCTTCTAATGGCTTACAACATCCTAAATACTTTTGGACATCCTCTTAAACACTTATATAAGCTTAGTCCCAACAAATACCTAGAGGTAACACCCAGAACTTGGAGACACAAAACAGCAGAACGGACTGTAGAAACAACTTCTGCTCCATAATGATAGTCAAATGCTGGAATTCGCTGTTGGCTGAGGTAGTTGAAGCGTCTTTGCAGGCGTCCTTTAAGATAAACTTGTTATATTCTTAACGACTAAGGATAGTATGTTACTATGCCTTACCAATTTCTTTTTCCTCTTTCATAGGCAATATACCTGAGTTTCTGCGTGGAGGTATTGTTTATTCACTGCTGTTAGATACCGAAGCTCGTTAAGCGAAAGCTCCTTCTTTACGGTCCAAAGCCATTTGAATTATTTGAACTTTCGAAGCGCAATGTATAATTTGTGCTCACAATTGGTTGATCACTGGGTTGTGATCAATATCATGCGTGTCCATTCTTTAATAATGCAGATTGAATGCAATCGACTATGTTGCAATGTGGCCACCAGTCTAGGTGACCCGACACTGAGGGCACTATTGCGAGATTAGATGGTGGTGTCGAATACCTTCAACCAACTAGGTGATGTGTCTGATTAAAAGAGGTGTCATCATGTTTCTGATTATACTGACTAGTTCAAAGTGATTGAAAATATCAGAGATGTATGCCATGTCCTCTAAACACGCATACAGAATCTTAGTGTGGTAATTCATTTTACCTCACCAATCCAAAACGGAGAGCCAACGCGATACACCCTCCGTATATCTGGCGACCCAATGGCTAGTTCTCGTGGACTGATGAGTGTAGGCAATGGGTACGATGGCAGAATAAGCACTATTAGAATGGATCCCCATTAACAATCGCCTATGTGCTGTTCGGATAAACGGCTTCGTAAGAACTCGGAAGGACAGGAACGAAAGTCTGTCTTTTCAGCGTTTCCGCCTACACTCCCACTGACTGTAGCCCGGGTGAAGTGAAAGAAGACTTTTCCGGAAAGCTCCATGAACTTCTTCACAAAGCTAAACGCTCAGACAGTGCTCGTAGCAGGTGGTCTTAATGCTGAAGTAGTTAGCTTAAACCAAACAGCATGTTATTTTTTATTTACTGTATTTGAACACATAGATATTGGCACAGGTAGGCACCATTAGGCAGTGGAGCAACGTTGGGACATGCAGTCTCATGGTAGCCGGTGACCAACAATTGGTTCATACGCCATTTGTTCCCTCAGGATACTGGAGCCCATATGCACCGTTGGTTTTGGATCAGGGTTTTCCAACCCTACTAGGTGGACTCTCCATGTCCACCAACCCGGTTAAAGCGCCGGACATTCGCTTTTCGTCCTCCCAATTCCGTAAAAATTAGAATTGCAGTGCGTAGAACTTCCCTGGCAGTAGTTGTGTGCACCTATCCATGTGAGAGCATGTCGAGAGGGAAACTGACTCTCCCTACCCTCGATCACACCAGGGCGGCTTCACACTTACTGTGGCCTATACCCTAGTACATGGTGAATTAATTAAATTTTAGGTCACATTTAAGAATCCTTACAAACGCCATGTTTAGGGTAAAACAATCGGCTAATATTTATTTATTTTAACACATAGATATTGGTACAAGGAAGCACCAAATACATATGCGCCACACAAATCTCATTTGATTTGTATGAGGGCGGCGAGACTTCCCGGGTGCCCAAACCGAAGAAGGTGGTTGTCTTAAGTGGCCATACCCAGGACCCTCAACCTAAAGGCTTATCCACAAGGCAGTGGGGCATCGTAAGGAGATGCAGTCCCATGGTAGCCGGTGACAAACGATTGATCCATACGCCAGGAGCCCATGTGTACCATTGGTTTGAAATCAGGGCTTTCCGACTTCCTTAGGTGGACTATCCATGTCCACCGACCCGGTTAAAGCACCGGACATTCGCTTTTCGTCCTCTCAATTTCGTGAAAAACACCCTCGTTACGAGAAGGCAGTGAGTAGGACTTCTCTGGTAGAGGGTATATACGCGTGGCCATGTGAAAGCATTTCGAGAGAGTGAACGGACTCTCCGCACTCTCGGTCTTACCAGGATACTTGGGGGTATTTTAGTATTCTAGGTCAGTACACAGATAATGGTGAATGTCCGCTGCAACTGTGTTCAGACAATTCCTTGTTTTTAAAAAGCACTAAAGAGGGCAAGGCTGAATACCACAAACAACCGAAGTCAGACTTAGGCAATTTTCAAAACGAGACCGGTCTATATATTGCTTGAAAAGATATACGAACAGTTATGGAAACAGCGGCGACAACTATTAGTGATCTGAATCAAAGGGTCACGAGATACCAGTGCGTTTCCGCTTCATCTGTTGCGCCGATACTCTCACAAACTCATCTCATCTGGCTTCGAGCACGATGAGGTGAGTAAACAAATCAGATCTAGGTTAACCAAAATTCTACGGAACAATCGTGAGCAGTAGTGGGCAACGAAAGCAAATAAAAGACTGAAAAGACATCTGTTGTAGTTAACACAAGACAGCTTTTCAGACCAATAAAAGAAACTGGAATTAAGAAGTCAAGTGTAAGTGGAGCGATTTCTGAAAATGGCGGCATTCCTATCTTCTCTCGGTCAAGACGTTTAGAACGATAAGTGGGATGCTGTAAGGAGCAATTCAGATGACCTTCAGCTACTCTATAGCTACCCATCATTTCCGAACAGCCTGAACGGAACATTGAAGTAGATCCCTCTACCCTGGTTGAAGTTTAAAAAGCTGTTGCTAATCCGAAACAAGGAAGAGCAGCTGGTCCAGATGGATTGGCTCCAGAGGTCTTTAAGGATAGTGATCCAGTTTTAGAGATTAGGTTGATTAATCTTTTAGCTAAAATCTGGAAACTAGATGTAATCCCATCTGACTGATCGTAATCACTGATCGTCCCAATATATGAGAAAGAGTCAAAACCATCCTTTGATAACCATAGAGGAACTAGTTTCAGTCAGTCAGTCAGTAACAAAGTAGAACTTGTGTACGTATTTATGGGCATCTACTGCTTGTTCAAATGATAATTCTATGGCCTTGACCAAATTAATCCTCATTCCAAGATTTGCCTTTTGAAATAGACAGGACTAGGTCTGAAAGAGCTGTGGCATTTAGATACAGGTGCCTGAGCTAGAAGTGACTGTCGTTAGTTCGGTCAGTCAGTAACAACGTAGAACTTTGTGCGTACGTACATCAGTCCGAGTTGTCATACCACATCTCCAAAGAGATGAAGTTGTCAATTCGAATCCCGTAGTGGTAGAAAGGCAGTAAGATTATCAGCAGTAATCAGAAAGATTAGGGTTTGAAGATTATATTCAAGGAGTACAACCAAGTGAAATAAATTTGGAAAGACTAAAAAAAAGGAACATGAAGAATTCAGAAGATTAGAGTTTGAGAGAACACAGAGAGTGGATGCACCTGCACCATTGCAAACCATTTTGAGCCATGTCATTCAAGGTCTCTAACCATCGGTTGCTATCGTCTCGACTCTGAGTGCAATGGCTCAGAATCGATCCCGATGGCGTCGGTGTATACACTGTTTGTCTTCCCTTAAACTGTGAGGTTAAAATCGGTTTATATCTTTCTTTTTAGGAACTAATTCTCTCTTCATGTACTATGTCCTTATATGCAATCATTTTCTATGTTACCACCACTTAATTAAGTAATTCTATGGATTTGGTGTTCATCTTGTTGTGCTAATGAGGTGTGGCAACTTGGACCGATGTATATATGTGCCTGGTCTTACGTTGTAGCTAAGTGACTGAAAAATATCGGAAAACTTTATATGAGGCAAGAAGCTTCATATATACTAAATTAACATTGAGTCATCAATAATAAAGTTGTTGGATTGCAAACGGTGAGATACGTAATACCTTTAATGCTTGGCATCCAATTATTTCACTTTTAAGTGATAACAATTGCTTATAATGCAATAGAACTTTAAAAAATGATGATTGTTTGACGATTAGGAACTGTAAGTGGATACCTTCTATTTTAATTGTCTTCCAAACAAATGCGGGAAGACGTACTTCAAAGTGGTTAAATAGGAAAAGGACTATATAACGAGGTTTCATTTCTAGTAGCAATTAATCAAAGATGCCTCTGAAAATGCCACAGGTATTCGGAGTTTGACAACGCTCTAACCAGTAACACCTACTAATATGAAGCGTACCCACCAAGTAAAATCAAAAGACAGAAGTGAGGAGATCGAAGATATATTTGATAAGCTACAAATATATAGAGGATCGTTTGAACTAATCTGGCTAGCGATTGCAGTAGGTGTTGAGCACAGCGTTCCCACACTTGATCTGGTGCGGATGCTTGACCAAGCGCCTTCAGCTAGATGAGTCCAATAAAACTGTGTTCAGTATCCAATTTCGAAAACTTACAGAGCTATTTATTTTGGGGATTTATTTACCGATACAAATCACTCCCCTCCTAGTGGGGTAGTGATGATCCTAAGACGTGGCCAGCCAGAAGTTTAAACCTAACGAGCTTTTCGTTGGTAAACACTCTTCTGATAGCTTGCTAGGTTTAGCAGCCTCTGGTCGTCTTTCCTTAATATAATGGTCCACGATGTACAATATAGTAAAAAAAGAAAAGGTACAATGAAGATTTTCGTTTCTCGCAAACTTCATCGTTCATTTTATCGTCTTTTCTAGTCGTCCTGGAAAAGAAAAAAATATATGTAAGTGCATGTCGAAATACACTCGTACACGCGTAAAAACACAAAGCGAGCAAAAAAGGAAAATAAACTCATGTTCACGTAATAGCGTAAAGAGAAGGATTTTTAATAATATCGTTTTTTTGTTTTGTTTTCCTTTTTGAAATAAAAAAATAAAAATACATAAGCATATTGAATTCGGGTTTTTAAAAAAAATCAAATATAGTACAAGGGAAAATCGAGATGATATAAAATGTAAACGTGTATCTTACGTGCCGTAATCGTTCAATTCTTCTGAAAATCTTACTCTTCTTACAGAACGCATTGTTTTGAGTTCATTTTCTGATACCACCGGAGTATCAACGTGTGTGTCGGCTGTCGATTGAGGTATTATAAGGGAAGGAGTTGTGTCGTGCGATTGTATTGAAGGAAAATCGACTTGAATAGGATTTCCTACTAAATACGCTGCTTTGAGGCGATCGATGCTGATGCTTTCGTTGGTTCCGTTCTTATCGATTATATAGTACTAAGTTTCGCGTTGAAGAACTTTGAAAGGTCTTTCGTATGCCGATTCGAGAGGTCTTCGATGCGAGTCTCGACGTACGAAGACGTATGTACTATATCGTAAGTCAGGTTGAACGAAAACATCAGTTGATTGTGGTCGAGTGGAAACATGTTTAATTGAACGCATTGCGTTTGTAAGCCTGTTCGAGGAGGAGGTTAGATCCATGTCCATCGAAGAGGATGAAGGATCCACGAATTCTCCTGGAAGTCGAAGGGTCGTACCATAAACGAGTTGAAACGCAGTGTATCCAATGTCAGCTTTCACTGCATTGCGAATACCTTGTAAGACGAGTGGGAGAGCGTCAGTCCACTGAGAAATGTTTGAGGCTGATAGTGACGCTTTAAGTTGTCGGTGAAAACGTTCTACTAACCGGTTTGCTTGTGAGTGGTAGGCCGTCGTTCGGAAGCGAGTGATTCCTAGTTTCGCGGTCAGACAACGGAACAGTTCAGATTTGAACTGGCGTCCACGATCTGTAGTGATGGTTGTTGGGCAGCCGAAGTTTGCTACCCACCTCTCGACGAAGGCGCGGGCCACTGTTTCAGCAGTAATGTCTTTGATGGGTACTACTTCTGGCCATCGAGTAAAACGGTCTACGCATGTTAAAAGATAAGAATATCCATTCGAATCTGGTAAAGGTCCTACCAAATCCAAATGAACATGGTCGAAGCGAGCATCGGGAGTTTTACACGAGCCTAAGGGACATTTGTTATGTCTAATAACCTTAGATTTCTGGCAGCTTACACAGAAGCGTGCCCATTCCCTCACGTCTTTATTCATACCAGGCCAGCAAAACCGTTCTGCTATAAGCTTGATGGTTGCACGAACACCTGGATGAGAAAGTCTGTGCAACGTATCGAAGACGTTGCGTCGATATTGTTTCGGCACGATTGGGCAATCCCTACCTGTAGATGTGTCACAAAGTAAGGTTTCCTTACCTGGTCCCATCTGTTTAAATCTCAGTTTAAGTGTTGTTGAGGACAACTCGTGCTGAAGATCACTGTCTTCTTTTTGAAGTTGGGCGAGTTTTAAAAGGTCGATTCCTTGGAAACTGTTCAAGGAATTTATACGAGACAAGGCGTCTGCAACTACATTGTTTGCTCCAGAAATGTGTCGAATATCTGAAGTAAACTGCGAAATGTAGTCCAGTTGTCGAGACTCACGTGGTGAGTACTTGTCTGTAGATGAGCTTAAAGAGAAAGTAAGAGGTTTATGGTCGGTAAAAATGGTGAATTCACGGCCTTCGATGTAGTGTTGAAAATGTCGGACAGCACAATACATAGCTAGGAGTTCCCTACCGAATGTGTTGTAACTCGATTCAGTGTCTAGCAACCGTCTAGAGAAAAATGACAAGGGTTGCCAGGATTGGATAACCCATTGTTGTAAGACTGCTCTGATTGCTGAGTCGGATGCATCTACTGCGATACTAATGGGCGCTTCAGGGTCCTGATGAGCAAGCATGGTCGCCTGAGCAATGCGTTCCTTAACCGTGGGGTATGCTTTTCGGGTAGTTTCATCTAGATTAATGGATTTCGCATTTCCACGAAGTTGGTCGGTAAGAGGTTTCATAAGGGACGCGCATTTTGGTATGAATCGTCTATAAAAACTTACCAGACCGTTAAACGTGCGCAATTGCTTGATGAAGGTCGGTTCTGCGTAATCCAGAATGGCTGCCACTTTTGTTCTAAGGGGTCGGATGCCTTGCGCATCGATAGTGTGTCCTAAGAAGTCTAAGAAGTCGGTTCCGATTTGACATTTCTGAATGTTTACAGTAATGCCATGTTTTCGTGGTCGGTCGAAAACGAGGTTCAGATGCTGGAGATGTGATTCTCTTTCCGGACTTGCTATTAGGCGGTCATCAACATACGCATGTACGAAGTTGAGACCTCGAAAAACGTCATCTATGAACCTTTGGAAAGTCTGTGCCGCGTTTCTCAGACCGAAAGGCATTCGCAAAAATTCATAGAGTCCAAAGGGCGTTATAATAGCAGTTTTCGGAATGTCTTCAGTGGCCATAGGAATTCGGTTATACGCTTTTACCAAGTCGGTTTTCGAAAAGACAGTTGTACCTTTAAAGGTAGCTGTCAAATCGTGAATGTGGGTGACGGGTAACGATCGGGAATGGTTTTTGCATTCAATCACAGATAATCCCGAGCTGGACGCCAATCGTTGCTGTCCTTTTTAGGGACCATGTGCAATGGAGATGTCCATGGGCTATTTGACGGTCGTATGATTCCTATGTCTATCATATGGTCGAATTCGTTTTTCGCCAACCTTAACTTCTCGGGGGCCAGTCGGCGTGCTTTAGAGAATACAGGTGGTCCCGTAGTCGTGATGTGATGTGTAATGTTGCTGGTTACACAAGGCAATTTCGGTTGCGATCGGTAAATGTCAGAATACTTATCGAGTATTGGTTGATAGAAGGGGTCTATAGTGTGCTTAATAGTGACAGGAGATAACCTGCAACCAAAAAAAGAAGTCAGGCAAACAGATAAATTAGTGTTTCCGTCTACTAGCCTCCGTTCGCGCGTATAGATGATTAGGTTGTGGTGCTGTAGAAGGTCCATACCAATGATTGGCATAGAAACATCCGCAACAACAAAGATCCAATGAATGGGTTTGCGTAAGCCCACGTTGAGATAAACATACCTTTTGCCATACGTAGCGATAGGCTTTCCGTTTGCCGCCTGTAGATTTAAAATCGACTCGTGAAGCCGGTCGTTGGAATTCGCTGGGAGAACGCTAACTTCTGCACCAGTATCGACGAGGTAGCGAACTCTCGTTATCACATCATTGACGTATAATAGACGGCTATGTTCGCCGGCTACGGTTGCCGTTAACGCGTGCCGGCTTGGAAGTTTCCCGAAACATTTTTCACGTCGACGGATTTTGAGTTTGGAAAATTGCAGGGTTTTCTGCAATTTCTGGCAGACTTTCCGTACTGGTTATGATACCAGCACCAGTCAGGATTATCCGTATCTAGAGGTCTAGAGACAGATCGCCTACGTTGTGTGCTTCTTCGCGGAATGTGTGACTGTTTACGGCTGTTACGAAGTTTGAGATAACGAGTAAGTGTGTGACATAACTCTGTTATATCATCCTGGGTCGTTTGAGGCTTTTCTTTGACTAAAAAATCTCGGCGTTAGAAGATCTAGTGATTTCGAGAATGCGGTGGGCCGATGCAGCCAGCTCGTCTACGGAGTTGTTTTGAAACGAGATCAGCACAGCTTGCACCTGTTGAGGAAGCTTTGATAAGAAAAGCTGTTTGAATAGGCCATCATCGAAGGTTCATTGGCCAATAACTTCTCTCATTCTTCGCAACATGTCTGTGGCAGAACCGTATTGCAGGTCGATGTTATGAAGGAGTTGGTCTAACCTTTATCGATCAGTTAGATCTCCGCGTTTAAGGATGGCATGTTTGAGGGTTTTTTATGGGTCGGAAACGTCACTAGTAAACATACTGGGTGCTACGTATCTGTTAAATTCGCGCGGTAGTGCCTTTACTACTGCGAGGAATTGTGCACGTGTGCCGTTCACACCGTGCTCGTAGGAGTCGGCTTCTGCGTAGCAAAACCAGGCTTCGATGTTGTCTGGCCAGAAGCACATAAGTTGGAAGGAAGGTGGGGACACAGTCTTTAACTTAAATACCTTAGGTGTCTGTTCAGTCATATTGATATATCAAGTACGAAAATGAACGAGTGGGAAATACATATATATATCCAAAAAGTATCACAAAGTAAAAAAATTAAAATAAGACAATAATATATAAAATCGCAAAAAGAAACAGACTCACAGTTTGCTATTTAGTGTACCAGATCACGTCGGGCTCACCAATGAAGATGCCACAGGTATTCGGAGTTTGACAACGCTCTAACCAGTAACACCTACTAATATGAAGCGTACCCACCAAGTAAAATCAAAAGACAGAAGTGAGGAGATCGAAGATATATTTGATAAGCTACAAATATATAGAGGATCGTTTGAACTAATCTGGCTAGCGATTGCAGTAGGTGTTGAGCACAGCGTTCCCACACTTGATCTGGTGCGGATGCTTGACCAAGCGCCTTCAGCTAGATGAGTCCAATAAAACTGTGTTCAGTATCCAATTTCGAAAACTTACAGAGCTATTTATTTTGGGGATTTATTTATCGCTACACCTCCATGTAGGAACCGATAAGACGATAACTTATGGGCGAATCTATTAGATATAAGATAACAGGTCATAGATTTCGGCACAAAATTCATTCATCCTTTTCGCGAAATAGCGTTTTGGCATTTTGGCTGATGTCAGTTTGTGATGAAAACCCTAAATTTAATTTTTAACCATAACCATCAACTGTGAATCATAATTCGAATTCCTTACACTGCTTTATAACCCTCATTTTGTCCTAGTGGGTGGGCATTCTCAAGGTCAATTCAGCGTTGCTCAGAGGTCGTCCCCAAAATATAATCTCACCATAGTTTTGATTTATTTGTTTTTCCTCCAGTCGATTGGTTCTCACTGTACTATCTTAAGGCAGTCTATATTGGTACGTTTTCTTATATCTGTGTGTCCTATCGGAAGTGAATTAAGTGGTTCAAAAACCAATGTTTGTAATGAAGACTAAAGATTTTGTTGACATCTGTAGTAAAGTTCGGATTGTTTATTGCTAAGTAACAGATTCGTCGCAAAAAAGCTACTCATTATCCATAAAAATGTTTGGCATATAGATATTTTAATCAAATGTGTTCATAAAAGCAGTCTTATTTTGCTGTCTTTTGTATTTCACAGTGAACATTGTTGCCTCAAGAGGTGAAATTCACCATATCTAAATCCTAATTGGTGTACCCCTGAAAGACGTAAATTTATAATGTTTGCCATTAAAGTCTAAGATTACCACTTAATTGACGGGTTGAGATGCACAATCCATCTTTAGATAATTGAAAACCCATACGTGTATGGGTCGATAGATGGTAAGCGTATTTTATTTATTTTGAAATAAAAGTGAAATACCTCGTTAAAGTTTCCACTTAGTTCATTTTGGACATGCCAATACTCTTTGTCAGGCTAAATCACTCGGTGATCAACTTATCGTTGGAATTCACTCGGACAGTGAGTTTGCATACTTTTATTTGTGTTAAAGTTAATTCTTAACTTTACCATTAATTTATTAGAAGAAATCACCAAACATAAAGGACCACCAGTTTTTCATGAAAAAGAACGTTATCAGCTAATCAGAGCTATGAAATGGGTCGATGAAGTAGGCAAAACTTATTAAGTGTTTTCTCATAAAAACTCATGTTAGAGTTAGTGATAATGTAGGACTGAACATAAATGTATAATCCAAGTTATGAAACCTTGCGTTATCACAAGCAAAAAATTGAGAAGGATAGGATAGAAAATAATATCAAGTGTAATGGAATACTAAGCATCAGAATTATGGTTTTGAAGAAATAAATGAGGTTCGGAACTAGAAACTGCGTGATGATACTAAGGTCAAGGCTTAGAATCAGTTGTAAACTAGATAATTCTGCGCCACTGCAACCGCTTATACACTTAATCTGTCTCCACTCATAGATTATAGATATTTCTTGGGCTCTAAATAAAATGTCTGCATCTAACAACATGGCTCAGCTCAACGGTCAGTCGTATTGATGTTGCGGAATCCAAATTTAATACACATAGTAATGTGCATAATCTTGTAACCCATTCTAGGTAATAAATGTGGATCTGTGGTTGTAGGTTATCAGTAGAAGGTCTTTGGCATTCTGCGGATTTTATATTCCCTAGATTTTGATAATGAAATAAAAAAGTAGCTCAGTAGTTTTTGTTACCAAATGACTCATGTAAATCCCACGATAATCAGAAGTTTCCCTAGGATTGTAGTCGAACTCTTGTTGTAATGGTGAAGGATATGAGCTGGAAAATTGTCTCCCTCACTATCGTAATCATAAAATAGGTAACAAAATTACGCACTTTGATTGGTTAAGTTTGTTCATTATAAACTTTGAAAGCTTTGTCAAGATTATCATTCGGTAAATGATTCGTATTCATAAAAAATGTATTTATTAATATTCTCTTTACTCACCGTAAAACTGTTTTAGTTATAAATACTTGAAGTTTCTATCAATGTAGATAAAAATTAAAGGAATATTATACATTATTCATAACACTTTAAGTTACGTGCAGATTCATATACTAAACTTCGATGGCTAACAGTACTATCTAGTTACATAGGAAGACATATAAGGTGTTTATTGTAATAATGAAGGTTGAGTGAATAAATTAATAAGCCAGTCAACAATAAACAGAATAAAACCTAGGATAAATGTGCACAAATTATTAAACTAGAGCTCATACCTGTTCGTTACCATGTCTTTTTGAACAATACTGTTGTACTGCTTTTCTGTACCTTGATAGTAGATAGTAGCTACGCAAATCGCTCACGTATGTTGAAGTGATAAACTTTCTACTGTTTTGACTTGAAAGGATATTCAGCATTTTTTGGAGCTTTCATATAGTACATGTTTTTAATTTATTGGAATTAAACTGTTTATCACAACATGCACAGATTCATTAGGATATGCTTTTATTGATTACTAGTGATTTTCTGGAATTCATGCTTTGAAAACTATAAAATAAACTACCAAGTGTATTCTCTCTTTGACCATATTTCATCAAAATATGTTACATGTTATGAATGTCCACTTGATGAGTTCCATCAGTTTTAAATTAACCTGAAGCACTCAAAAATTGTCCAGTTTTACGCAACAGTTCCAAGTATTTTTTGAGTACTTATTCAAATTTATTGTCTAGTTGATTTAAACGTAGCAAATCAAACTTGTTAATCAGCTGTTATTTGATCCTGTTCCTTCATAGGTAGTAGAAGATGCACCATACTTTACCTATGTGAAAACGTTAGAAAAATATTCTTGTGATTTTTGTGTACATGGAGGTATGTTGTATTAGTTTAATGAATTGTTTTAAATTTAAAATAAATTGACTGCTAATTGACGTTCTCTTGACGAAATTTATGCTCAAAAAGAAGTTATGATCAGTTGAGAAAAAGATTAATGAAACCCAACATTATGGGCACTTTTAGTCAGTAGTACCGTAATTTTTTCTATCATGAAGCCTGTTCTGAATATATTCCAGATATCTCAGGCTCGTACATTGTTTGATTGTTGTCGGTGGTTCATTCAGTGGTAAAGACCGCACAAATTATTAGTGTCTTAAAATTTACATTCTTGTTTACTTTTCTTTTTCAACATCACGTATGTAACTTCAGCACTTCTACTTTACCTAATTAATTCACTGATGTGTATCAGAGGTTATGCCATTGGGATAAGACCACGTCGGATCAAAATGATCTAAATCTTCATTAATCTCTCAGTTTTGATTGGTCGACCTTCGACCGACACAAAATTCCATATATTCAGATCGAATTTGTCTGTTCTGGATATTCGTAAATGTTTTGCACAGTAATAGGAAAGTGTTCATGTATATAGAGTCATCATGTAATTCGCCTTTATTGGTTTTTATGGTGAAAGTTAACTTTCAGTCGTAGGAATTTCTACAAATTTCGTAAGCGGAGTTGAATCTAAACAACCAATACAAATGGTTTTCTACAAACTGTCTGATTGAATGTGTGTTTTAATCTATAAATTGAGAATAAGCTGGAGATGTATAAACACAGTAACGTTAATTTTTGTAGTGTTCTGTTTTCTTATCCATCGTTTATTTCAACTACTGTTCCATACTGAAAAGATATTGATTTGATGGGTTGTGATTATTCAAATTTGTGTTCAAAGGTTTTGCAAATTTATGTTGCGCAAAGTTTCTTAGAACTATTCAATTTATCAGGCCTAAACAGGCTTAGTGGGTCTTGAAAAGTCGATCCTAAAATTGCTAATTTGAGCAAACAGATTTATCCACTTATCTTGCTCCATTGTAAATCACACATTTAGATAAACAATGATCGAGAATATAAAAATGGACGGATTTCTTATATCTACTCACCCACTTTTAGCCTCTAGACTCGAAGTATATATCTATCAACTATAACAAAGAGTCGTTCAGTATTTCTTGTTGGAAGCTCCTCTGGTCAACATGACTGTTTAAGCACGAGGTTCCTTTGGTTCTGTTGTTTGAGTCATTACTTATAAATAAGTTGAAGAAGCATCAATAAGTAGAATAGTGCTCAGTAAATCATTTTCCATTTTAAACGAATTTAGTGGAGAAAATTTTCTCTTCGACGGAATCATTTACTTGAGCTTTACATCCGTATTTATGATTGTTTAATAAGTATTCAAGTCCATAGAAAGATAAAAGAGATTGCGTCATAGTGATTCGAGACTTCAAGTATCAATAGTAGGTTGCTTAATGGTCAAGATATTGAATAATTATGAAAAATTGTTAGAGGATAATAATAACTGATCACGTTTTGATAAGTACAAAATAATGATAAAAATAAAACAATACCAAAACACAAGGGAAGTGAGTTAAGGTCACGGAAGGATGAGAAATTGGACGTATCGTTTATACAGTCACAATCCGGGGTTGAAGTGATTGATCGCCAACGCCTTAGCAGTGGATAAGTTTTTAATTCACTGAGTACTCTTTATTCTTATTCAATAACACTGCGTTACTTTATGTATAAAGAATTGTCGAATTGTGCTTTAGAGATCACATTGGATTTGAGCCATTATTTTTCCTTATTTATTTTATTTGTTTTAACACATAGGTATTGGTACAAGGAGGCACCAAATACATATGCGCCACATGAATCTCAATTGATTTGTGTGAGGGCTGTGATACTGCCCGGGTACCCAAACCGAAGCAGGTGGTTTTCTTAGGGGGCCACACCCCGAGCCTTCGGCCTGAACGTCCGACCCACAAGGCAGTGGAGCATCGTGAGGAGATGCAGTCCCATGGTAGCCGGTGACCAACGATTGGTTCATACGCCATTTGTTCCTTCAGGATACCGGAGCCCATGTGCACTATTGATTTGGGATCTGGTTAAAGCGCCGGACATTCGCTTTTCGTCCTCTCATTTTCGTAAACAACACCCCCGCCACGTGAAGGCAGTGAGTAGGACTTCCGTGGCAGAGGCTATATACGCGTGGCCATGTAATAGCATTTCGAGAGGGATAGCTGACTCTCCCCACTCTCGGCCTAGTCTTGATTAATCCACAACTTTCATGAAATGCCTACAGGGATTTCTAGTGTATTTTGGAAATATTAAAGCTCAGTACTATCAACAATGAATTCATTTCCTGTTAACCATGAATACGTCAATGTTATTAGCTACAGGCCAAATTATTATTATTTTCCTTTTGTGTCATTTATGGTCATAATCAAATGAGTAACCAAACAAATCCCACTTTTCTAGAGTCCTTTCACCTGACTTTCATGCCGCCTATTTTCACTTAAACAATAATCTATGAATACTTTCATTACTTCGTAAATATAAGTGTTACATATTTTTCATTACTGTATGGTATATATTGTTTTCTTCACTTATTAATGTTTTATTTCCTAGTTCTGTGTTAATTGATATGATCCATTTTGAAAGTATGTAGTCTATTAAAGACTGAGTCGTACCCTTAACTGTAGCGTCACATATGACTACACAACCATTACAGGAAAGTGCTCGGATAGGACATTTGCGGACAAAGTGAGCCTTATGCAGATTTTCATTAGATATTTAAAGTTTTTCAGTAGCAAACATATGAGCTGGCACTAATATCCACTGGCCCAAGCTGACGCATTTCTCATCAGTGTGACAAAAAGAAAGGAAAAAGAATGGAAATAATAGTAGTATCACTGATATTAACGTCTAAATATAGAAGACATAATTAAAGAAAAATTATGAGGTTTGAAAATAAAAAGTACAGAATGATGTAGAGGAAAACAGAAAATGAATATATCTGTATCATTACAACTAAATTCGAACCATATCGCCTAAATTCTCCAACTATATCTTACAACTAGCTCTTAGGTCATATCTAGGAGATTCGCATTTCCCAATACAGCTCGGTCCACTCCCAGGAAAGCGATCATAAATAAGGTGGCTTCATATATTCTTTGGCAACATTTGCTGCGCACACTCGATCTTGATTTTCCGTATTTTTGCAGCTAAACAAGAATTCTGATTCTCACATCTACATGTTATTTGTAACTAGTGTATTGTATCATGTCTTCTAATGTTTTTGGGTGGACTACATTATAAGTTTGCTTACCTTCAAAGTTTATGTTTAATCTATATAATTATAGATGATCTGGTGGTATCCAACGATGGATCAGATCCTTATGCAGAAGTTAAAGCAACTAATCGATAGAAGTGAGATTTATTACTAAAAGATTGTACTACACATTTTCTTAAAACGTTCTGTAGTATGTAGAGTGCAGAATCGTTTACTTCATTTTCAGACACATCTAGTAGAAGGGATGATAAAACTACCCGGCTGCTCGAAGTGAAGCATCTTGAACAGGATTCGAACCTCCTATCTTATCGTTAAAAATCTAACAGCATATGTCATAACATCGTTCCTGTGAAAGTTCTAGACACCACCCAGGTTATCATCTATAGGGAATGAAAATGTTCGAATTTGTAGCGATCATCATTATGTGATTGTAGAGGACAAATCAAACATCATATTTCTTATATGATGCAAATATGATGTAAGTATCGATCTCTTCTAGTTAATTATACACTATTTTCAAGTTCCTATTGAGAATGAATTTTACTGTCATCCCTTGCATACTTGACCATAATATTTGAATATTGTTTGCAAATAAGGAAGAAAAAACTTTCAAGCACATGACATTTACGTTAAACTGTTGGTAACATTCACAGAAAGTGGAGCGTTGTAATACGTTTCGTTTTTGCTCATGAATAATGTTAATTCAAAGCACTATAATTGTCACATCTCTAATATAACCACACTGTCTTGAGTGAATTTTATTCTGTATAATTCTATTTTAACCAGCGTTTTTTCTGTCTCAGTATCATCATAAATGGTGATTTATAAACTTTATTTGATTTTGTTACAGTAAGAAAAGTTAACCGAATTGAGGGTATATCTACTACAACTTTAGTGTTAAGGTTAATCATTAGCTTTCGTGATTGTTTCTATGTACATTTGTGTATATCATTAGTTGAATATAAATAATAATGGTACGATTTCATGAATTCATAAAATTCATTTACACATATATCGAGGTGTTTCGCATGTTTATATTCGAATTAAATGAATGGTTTATATCATTTCATTTAGTAACAGTGTTGAAGGATATTTTTTTAATATTTTAAAATGGATAAATTCATATAGTTTCCAACTGGCTTATTTTTGAATTAGTAAATAAAGTGATAAGACTGAATTCCTGTATCGCAAACTGACATCAGATGTGTTAGTATTGAATAATACTGTTTTGCATGTATTGTTTGTGCAGATGCTAAGCTGAAATGATTTAACGTAAGAAAAAAGGAAAATACTGACACTAAAAATAAACCAAAACTGTGTCTGAATGCACTAGTATTTATAGTTTATATTAATGGTCAAATTTCAAATAAATACAACTGAGTAACAATAAACACTCGTTAGAAAACAAACCACGGTATAAAAATTACATACATCATAACATTCAGAATCCCATAGTCAACATGTAAAACTGACTGACCGATTGAGTCATATATTTACTCTTTTCTAAGAAGCCCTAGCATCATGGAATACAGTAAAGCACTGAACAGCTGTTTTTTGCGTAGGTTGTAACTCGAAAATCAATGTTATTTCTTTGAAGGAACTTGAATTAGATCACCATGTGAAACGTTATTTAATTCTAATAGCTTAAATCATTTTATTTTCATTATTCCTGTTTTCCTATGCAAATATCTATGTTCATATCATTAGCTTCTTCATTTTTATCCACATGTAACTGTTTATTATTATTATTATTATGCATACAGAATGTTAAAACGTACAGAAAAATTACAAGATCAAGGTACTTATGCATCGCAGTTTAGTTCAAGTGCGGAATGTTCAATTGGACGAACACAATCATTATAGATTCTGTGCAAAAAAGTATAGATAAATTTATGCATCCTTGTGAGGTAAATGAGTGTTTTATAGAGTTTCTCTTGATTATTATGGGATTTTGATACTCTTTAGTATACACACTGTTTTCAATTATAGCTTAAATTACAATATAAATTACTGTAGCTCAATCATTAAGTAAAAGGTTTTAAGTTAAAGGGGTACTGTGGTGTATGCTACTTATGTCTGTCGACATAAGTAGTATGTAACACCAATCAGATGTTGAATGGCTGGCAGCAGAAGACTAAGAAAATCGAGTTGAGGAGAAAAGAAGGGAAAATAGAAAGGAATTGTGAACTGGAGGAACCTTACAGAGTGTGAAGGATAAATGATGGAGATTTCCAAATGAAGTATTTAGTGTATGCTTCTCATATTTTATCAAGATGTTCTGTAATTTTGTATTAAGATACATTGGTTGCCCCCAACTGTGTCCTCGTTTATTACAGTACCATCCTAGTTAATGTTGGGGCTAACGGTTTATCAACGAAGGGAGTCATGGGAATCCTATTTACAAAATTTTCTGTCTCTGATATTTAAAGTAAACGAAAATTATTTCCGAAACACTGATTAACACGACAGTTGAATTATTTCTAAGATGCCCTTTACCCGGAAATCAGAAAATTGTGAAAATTAACTAAGCTCAAAGTCAACTTTATCTTAGCACTATAGCAGTAATGCAGATCTAATCAACGTATTATTGTGAATAATTGTTAATTACTCTTTTATTGTCGTGTGCAACTTTTTAGAATAGATTTAAACAAATTATACTGTTTTCCATCCGACCCTCTTCAGGATTTACTGTCATATACAAAAGGATCACATAACTAAACGTTGCAAGTAAAAAGTATGATTTAGTAATAAAGTGACTAACATAGTAGTAAATAATAAACAGAATGATAGGAAATAGGTCAAAGCTTGTAAAAATAAACTTAATAAAATAATAATAATAAACTACTTAATACGAAATTTGTTTAAATAATCATCTTAAATATATAAATAATAACAAAGAGATACGAACAGAATAAAGATAAACAAATAGAAAATGGTGTCATGAATCGGTAAAATTCATTATTATTATTATTATTATTATTATTATTATTATTATTATTATTATTATTATTATTATTGGAAACTTAAAATTTTCTAGTGATTAGAAAACAAAACGAAATTGTTTTTACTATTTAATTTTTGCTATTTAATTCTAACAGCCGTCAAATCGGTAAAATTGTTTATTAAATCTTACCCGGCCGTGCACTTGAAAGTGATGCTACTAATCTGTTTTTACCAAATAGGCTAATGTTGTTGACCCGAATCCTCATATATAGGTGGCGATGTCGAACCTTATTAACAAGACTCGATGATATACAATAGATTACTCACAAGGCATAGCATGTGTTGAAGGAATTCGAGAAACGTTTTTGTTGTTTTGATTACGTTTTTTATCCTAGCGTATGTAGCGATTTCTTCGTCATCTCGAGAATTGTCTCAATCTCTTTTTTGCTTCCCAGAGACACCCTCCTACGTTGTTTACAACTCGCTGACTCATGTTTCTGAAATTTGTGGAAATTCGTAAAACCGGATTTGTTGATTATTGAGAATCAACATGAGACTTTGTCATCAAAAAAGCTTTACGTCTCAGTTAATAACATATGTTTAGTCACCTAAGCATTAATTCGTTCACATAAATAAGTTGTCCTGATGAAATTTATTGCTTATTTAGCCCAGTAGTAGGTTTTGACTTCTAGGTTTGAACACTGAACGTTATATAAATGTTTTCTTGACTTCTCAGCTATTGTTAGGTAAGGGTAAAAGCAGAGATCCGGGTTTACGATTTCCTAATGATCATTTTCAAATAATGTAACTGGTCTACCAAACTGAAGGTTTATGCATTCAATTTTTAACTTTCTGTTTGCTTTATGGTTAGTTGTACTACCAAGTTGCCTAAACTGAAGCAGATAAAGAGGGATTCGAAGCTGCGACTCAATAGTCAGAGGTCGAGTACTTTAACCTGCAAGGTTCCGCTCGACATTCAAAATTGTGTAGTACAAAAAACGCTTGAAATTATTGGTACACATTTTTCCTCTAAAATCATTCTCTTCCTTGGTTTTTATTGTTTTATTTTGATTTCCAGACAAATGAAACATTATCACCCATATATCCCGGCCTAAATTCAAATTATTCTAAAGACAATGATGTGACAGATTCAATTAATGTTTCGATTTGGTCTACTGGTGGTATGACGTATATGCCGAATATTTTACGTATAAGTCAATTTTGTTCTGGTCAATTTCGTGAACCTAATAGTAATGACATTGTGGTATATGTACCGGGTACATTTGACCTTTTCCGTATCCTTTATATGTAATTGATATAATGGTGTCATTTAAATATTTTCTGTTTGCAACACTATTCTACTATGATACGATAATACGACTGATGATCACGATTATCCTAGCACTTACTTCGACACTCGATCGATACGCCATACCCAAGCTGGATCACATTATTCCAGATACACGATTCACGATGAAATATAGAAAACTAGAGTTTAGACTAGACAATATTTTATTTCTCAGAACTTCAAAACATTTTACCCTTAGTAAGTTCAGATTAGAAATTATTAATAGGAGGAAAATCATATTAAATAGTTAGCGTCTGTTAATCGACCCTCAATGGCCAATCGCACCTTACTTTCGATACCACACAGCAATGAGCAACATAATTTTCCAAAGTATTATATACTCGGGTCAGTGTTTTCAGACTGTCTTTTTTAAATAGTGGCTGAATTTGCTACGAAAAGAAGTTGGTTTCTGTGATTAGATTTTCTAGTATTAGTTTCTCAATTACAGTGATAACTTATTATGTAATGAGCACAGCTTAGTGACCAGTTAAGTAATAAGGCTATCTTACAAGCTCCTTTTCTTAGTAAATGCCAGTGACAAAACGAATCTTATATACTGTCAAAAGTATTGTAATGCTACCTAGTTCTACGACATAATTGAATAATAGAAACACGTTGATTACTTCTGTGAATAAGTGACTGCTAAAACTTCGCCACAAATGGAGAACATTTTCTTCTTGCTAAAATCACGGATAAACCAAGTGAGTTATTTCCATATTCTTTTACTGCTTTGATATATCCCATTTTAAAAGTAGAAGAAACGTGTAATTTTTTAATTCTGAGTTTCGGAGTGCCAAATTTAGCGATTTAAAAAAGATGTTTCACAGGTCCTGAATGTAAACGCAAAATCTGCAGGTGTTAAAATATTGCTTTTGAAATAAACTCAATGACAACTGTTCTTTTATGTCGTCTCGGTCCGTTGCATTGTACAACAATTTTTTTAATTATTCACACATAGTTGGAAATGAACGAAATTAACAATTGTAGTCGAATACGATATTTCTTTAACCTTTTAATGTATAACTATAATATGAAAAATAGACATTGGTCATTTATCATTCCTGGAACAGTGTTTAAAACTTGGAAATTATCTATTGGTTGGATTATACTCGGATAAAGTGAGTACAAACTTAGCTACTTAAACAATTTTTCAGTCACAGAAATATTAATTGGTATCACGTATATTTAACTTAGTTATACAATTGGTTCGTCTTAACCCACCAAGTCAGTTACTATAACTCTACAACCTAGTACACATTAGTATTCAAGGCTATGGCCCACGTGGTGTATGTATATCAATATCCTGTTTCACAAACCAAGATGAGTAAAGCGTGATGTAAATATCATATCGTTTATTGGAAAATTGTTACTGAAACCTGTAATCCACCGCTCCTAATAAGCTCAGTAAGAACACCGACTGTAATATCAACTAAGAAGTGTTCTATTCTTTTAAGGTGGTTGAGTTTCTTTTAAATTACATATACAGACTGTTGATGAATACTGTGATGTAGGCTACTTATGTTGACAGATATAAATAGTATGCAGCGCCAATCGGAAGTGGAATACCGGTCAGCAGAATATAGAATTGAAGAAAACAGAAAGGAATATGAATAACTACCGAATTTTAAGAATGAAGAAATATGTGCACGAAAACCGGAGAAAGATGTGCAAATAATATATTTGATGTATGATTTCCATATTTTAAGAAGACACTGTAATTTCGCATTAATTAATGAATTGGTTTTCCCCACCATGTCTTCGTTTACTACAATATCAAGAGATACCAAAACCATCTCTAGGGATTTCCGATAATCATCTTTAATTCTTTAAACACAAAATTATCATATCAATTTCGCTTGTCAACCGAGTAATTTTCTTGTGAAACCAATCTTCGAACCTCAACTAAGTATGATTAAAGCTACCAAGCAACTGACTGTTTAAATATTTTAAGGTAATAAGATTTCCATTGATATTCAAAATGCTTAACCAAAACAAATTAACATATAATAAATAATTACTGGAGCATGAAAATGAAGGTCATACAAAAACCTATAACGCTTCAAGTCTACTCACCATATCATCAACCACACTATACCTTTAACTGGGTCAGCTTACTTTTTAAATGCTAACATAATTGGCATTTTCACCGGATAAACTTACCACTGTTATTATTTTCATCATTTTCAATGTTTATAAGTGACTTGTACATTTGAAGTGACCGATCATAATTAGTCCATTCGTTTTCTATTATAAACTCTATTTTTAATTAAAGCAACACTTAAATACTAAGCAAACCAAAAATAACAAAATTTGCAGGAAAAGTTGGATGTATTCTATACTCTATTTTTCCTATTAGCTCCAGCACAGTCTGGCATCACAAGGCGTAATGTCATTTGAGACATTTTAAAATGTTTACTTGGGACTGAAAGTTATAGTAAATGAAAGAAGGTTAAAATAACTCATTGTGTCATTGAATAAAAATGAAAAGGATTCAGCGAAGAAAATTTTCTTTTGGACGAAATAACCGTGCTAACTTTAAGACGAAGAAACTATTAAAAATACTAGGCTTAAACTTTAATATGCTTTAAAATACTAATAATTAGTTATGAGACATCCGAAATTATTTTAGAAATTGACGTCTCCATGTTTTCTCATAAATTAATTGTCCAAACTCACGAATCATTAATTTCAGCATTTTTATATGCTTCAAGGAGATCAAAGTCTTGCGTAACCATATTACTATTATAATCTTATTATTACCATCACCAATTTTCGCATTTACGCCACTATCAAGATGGTACGATGCATAAAAATTAGAATGATTCATATTAAACCGAGTTCAAACATGAGGGTGGTTACTCATCATGTTTCTGATTGAATATTACCTTTCATCAATATATTGGTTCGTTATTGTATTACTTTGCAGACGTCATCATTTGAAAGTGGTCGAATGGGCTCAATTCTCACACTTCAAGAACGACTGTTATCTGTACTGGCCTGTCGAGTAAGTTATGTTTTTTTTCTCAATTATATCCAATTTACTAACTGATCATCACTATAATCTCCATTTTAACCGAATCGAAGAAAAGAGTGTTGTTACTTACGAGAATTTATGTATAGAAATTTCAAAAGTACTTCGAATATGTCTCAAATAAATCACGGGAATACTTTAACATTAAAATGACTGAAGAGAATTAATAGTAATTAAAAGTCCACTTAAAATACAAGATTTCGAAATTAATTCTGAGAATATTCTGGTTCATTTAAGATTGATTGTCCTTTTTCTTAAACACTGAAATATAATTGGTTTGTATACAACTTTAACATGTTTTCAGTATATTAATTTGGTAGTGTAGCACCAATTCAACAAACAAATGAGACTGCAATGATTATCAAGTCTCAATTACAAGTCCTAATGTAACCATAAACGTTTCTATCATCCAGTTTTATCTGGTGATTAACAGTTCGTTACATTTTCTACTGCATAAGGAGCAAACTTGTTATTTTTATATAATCCAAGGATATTGATCTAGAGCGTAAAATTTCGTAAAAATAGACTCACATGTAAATCGTTTACTTAAATCGTTACTTCCATCGATTGTGTACCGGTACAACCCTATACCTCATTGTTAAATTATATTACGCTATAAATTATTGATTGACCCATATACTGCATACCGTTAACTAGATAATTGATTTATAACTTCACTGGAGTGAGCATTATAGTTAGAGACAGTCCACCCCATAAACTGGTATATTAATTAGAACATCTGTGAATTGACCTGCACAACTCTTCTCTATTCCTAAGTGCATATACAGCCATAGGTTTACGGTTAGGCCTTCGGAACTCTATTTCATCAATGTTTTTACTTTATAAATAAATATATCATTAAACAGGACAAAGAACTATCATTTAATGTCATCTCACACATTGAAGGTCGTTCTCACACGAATTGTTATGAATTAAAAGGTACTGTGTTTGTGCCTCATATCACAAATATTCAGACCATTGGTAATTAGAATTACGTGTTTTTGTTTTTGGTGCGAACTGAAATCAGTTGGAAAACGGTTGAAAATCAGGTCTCCATCGACGAAAATTTCGTCCTAGTTAGGAACTCTTCAGTAAGCATCTATATAACCCCACTCGGACTCGAATCCTAAACTCTCAATTTTATCAGTGTGCTTGATATGTTCATGTTACAGTTCCAGATTTGGATCTATGTTGTTTAGGTTGGTGTATGAGCACTCCTATGGAGTCCCAAATGAGGAAAATACAACTATCCAGCACTAATAAGAATTATGTTTAGCCTGTACAAAATTTCCTTAAAAGCAACTTTGTAAATACCATTTATCATCATCAATTCTCTTGAACTAGGCGGATGGTTTTGAAAATCCGTTTTACAGTGTTACCCCAAAATGAAAATTTTTATAACCGTTCATATCCATCAGATCCATCACCTTAAAAGGTGATGAACTTGATGGATTAACATAACTATTTTTCAAATATAAAAAGAATGAAGTTAAGACAAAATTGATTTAAACTCCTAATAAAGTAATCCTTTTTTAATCTATTTACAAATTATTCTATCATGATTACGTAATTATTTATTACTTTTCCGGATTAAAATCAATTAAATATTATTTTATGTCTGCATTATTGAAAGAGATTAAAAATTGTGAATGTGATTTTTGTTTTATAAAAAAACGATCAACAACCAAGTACCAGTGAAGTAGAAATTTTTAAAAATTCATTTTCAACTTACAATTTTACATACATGATTTTGAGCCATTCTTTTCATGTAGGGGATGGTGATAATACGCCCCCAAATGCCCTGGTACGGCCGAGAGTGGGGAGAGTCCGCCCCCTAAGAAAACCACCTGCTTCGGTTTGGGCACCCGGGCAGTATCACAGCCCTCATACATATCAAATGAGATTTGTGTGACGCATATGTATTTGGTGCCTTCTTGTACCAATATGTGTTAAAATAATTAAAATAAATAATAGTGATAATACGTTCATCCTCATACTCCCCAAACCGAATCAAAGTGGAGTTTGAACATGTGAGTCAGTAATTTAAACCACTAACCCATCTCTGTTAATAAGCCTTAAATCTAAGTTTCCATAATTCTATAATAGTGAATTTATTTTATTTATTTATTTGAACACATAAATATTGGTACAGAGGGGCACCAAATATATATGCGCCACACATAATAGTGAATACAAAGACAGTATGGCGTCACGTGTAGTAGTCTCTATAATTTTATCATAATACCAATTATTATTCGTTCATTAGTTTATTTTTGGTAAAATTTTATAAATTAATGCACTTTGGTTAGTTCAGTTATCAGTAATACTCTCTTATTAATAACTCTGTATGAATATTGTTTTATTCTCATTATGGACAGTACGTGAGCAATGTAATTATTGATGCACCGTATGTAATACCTCCCAATCTTTTGGATCATTTCAATGTAAGTCGTTTCTCATTACTATTACTTCGGTCTTAGCATCAAATAATTGAAGGTAATCAGCAAGAGGTAATATATCACCTAATTTACGCGCCAGTTTTCACTCATCAACAACACGTATGAAAAATTTTGATGAGACTGGTCCCCCCCGGAATCTAAATTTGTGTCACCTAGTGCCACAGTCAGCGATATCAAAACTGACCTTTAAGCTATCAATAATATTTTAGAAACGGGTCCGTAAAAAACACATGATGGTGGGCTGGATCCAGTTGTTACTTTGATGATAACTTTTCAACCTTGAATGTGCAGATGGGATTGTCTTAATATACGATATGACACAAGCTATCTGAGTACCACTTGATTAGTTGTTATGTAGAGTCCGTAATTATGAGTTTTACTCTGCACCAGCTAGGTGTAAAATATTTCTGCAACACTGGTTAAAGGTCCTTACACTTACTTTTTGTGGTTATCCGTTATTGTAGTAAAAAAGTTCGTATATCTAGGTAGTTTTGTGAGTAATGGTGTTGGCGTGTTAGGTCAAGTCAACCTGTGTTTAGTGAAGGCCATATTTGGAGCCATCATAATTCTAGTCTGGCTATAGAAGGTTGGGTTTACAATGCGTCCGCGAAAACAATTCTGCTTTATGAAACCTACCCTCCCTCAAGCTAGGAAGCCCCGACAACTCTGCCCGATCATCTTCATCTTTTGAGGATTTCTGAAATCTAATGGCAACACTATGTTAGTAATACTGAGGTTCAGCATTCTATTTTCGTGAGCAGTAACTATAACTTATACAATGTCACCCGCTGTAAACACCAGCTTCCGTTGCTTGAAAATGTTTAATCTTCTCATGTCACAATCTTCCACAACGTACATCATTTGCCGATGATGGGACTAAGCTGGAAAAGTGGATAGGTAATTAATTTATAACATAGCTCCGTGGGATGAAAAGATGTTGTATAGGACCATCTTCTATCTCTCCATCGTAACTCCCTGGAGTAGATCACATAGCGTGTGCAACTCAGGGTGGAAATCATAGGTAACAATAATAAGGTTTGACATGATAGTTTTGAATAAATTGAGCACTGACTAGAATGTTGATAATAGAATAATTATTTATTTTTGATATCCCAATGAATAGAAATTTTAATTTCCGATGTTTCGCAACGTAGTTGAGGTCGCTTCTTCAGACAGTAAGTAAGTGAATAACCAAATTAACATAAGTCTAAATAGTAAAAAGGAACAAGATAGAATGTTCGGTTCAATCAAAATGAAAATAGTTTTGATTATGTCAGCGACCTAATAATCTTGTAGGATAGGAAAATCTACAAATTAAACTGTCAATAACAGTAAATGCTAGATTTGGTGACCACCAAATCGGTATTAAAAATATCAAAATAATCCAGAAACACCTTTCCGAATATAAAGAGAAACGAGTAGCCGATGTGTTTCATACAATGCTAAATCCCTCTCTCAACAGGAAAGAAAGTCTGACTATTCATTCAACGGCGAGACTATAATTTATGGACAAACCAATAAGGTATATGATAATAGGACTCGGATATTGGCGCGAAATTCACTCACCCAATTTGGTTAAATAATTTTGGCATTATAGCTGATGTCAGTTCGTGATGAAAACCCGAAATCTAATTCTACACACAGGTTTAGAACCCTCATTTGGTCATAGATATTAGGTGGACATTCAAGGTCAGTCTAACTTCGCTCAGAGGTAGTCCATGAATTATAGTCTCACCCGTTCAACTTCATTTATCCAGACTACATTTAATTCTCTTTATTTTATTTTCTAGGTAAATTATGTTGCAATAGGTTGGGATAAAAATCTTACACCAACATTAGAGGGCTTAGATCCGATGATGGTAAGAATTGTATGTGAACTGTAATGTCAATGTTTTACAATTGATGTTTCTGATATACACTTGCTTTAGTATTTAATTCTGTTGCATTCATCTGGGGTCGTTTATCAATTGATACCAACTTGAACTTATTTGCCAGTTTGTAAACCATCTTGTTGATTTAATCACATAGACAAGAATTACAATGATTCAGTAGGTATTGTCTAAGAAAATCAAGATTCATCCATCTGTGTGACGATATAAAGGTTTGCAATCCAGTATGTATTTCTACTTTTATTGACCATAAACACGTTTGTTTAACTATATTATTATTATGATTATTATTATTGTTATTAATATTACTATTGTTACTATTACTACCATTATTACTATTATTAGTATTATTACCATTACTACTATTATTACTAATTATTATTATTATTATTATTATTATTATTATTATTATTATTAAAAACATAAACATTGGTACAAGGAGGCACAAAATACATATGCGCCACATAAATCATTCGGTTTGTGTGAGGGCTGGGATACTGCTCGGGTGCCCAAACCGAAAAAAGTGGTTTCCTTAGGGGGCCAGCCCGGAGCCTTTGATCTAAAGGTCTGATCTACAAGGCAGTGGACCAACGTGAGAAGATGCAGTCCCATGGTAGCTGGTGACCAACGATTGGTTCATACGCCATTTGTTTCTTCAGGATACTAGAGCCCATGTGTACCACTAGTTTGAAATCAGCGTTTTTTAATTCCCTTCGGTGGACTCTCCGTGTCCACCAACCCGGTTAAAGCGCCGGACATTTGCTTTTTGTCCTCCTAATTTCATAAAAACAGTAATGCCTCAAGAAGGCAGTGAGTAGGATTCCCATAGCAGTGGTTGTATGGACGTGGCACATTTAACTGATAAACATCATATCCAATTTGAAGTTCGATTGACCGATCACTCTCCTGTTCATAGTTACTTCATTTGCACAATCTGTAAAAAAAAGATCAAATTCAACTTGTTTAAAACACATTTTGTTGAAAGTGAAGCCAAAACTATTCAAAATTGAAAATTTTTTTCTCTACGTTTGCTATTTCCTGATGATATGAATTCAAATTAATAGTTTCTTAACAAATATTTATATAAACTATGGATACATGATGGGTTAGAATAATTGAAAATTGATTAGAATTAGTAAAATAATTACTGGTACGTAAAAATTTTTATTACATAACCTACCAGTTATTCTTATAATTCTTTCGTCGTTTTACATGATTACATTCTGGCAACCTGTCTAAATATACTACTGTACTTGAGAGACACACACACAACCATATATATATATATAATAATATGTCGTTCATTATGGTTCTGTGCCAATATACAATTCAAAGCGATTTGTTTATTTGAGTCTGTTAGTCTAAAAAGAATAATGTAAATACAGTAGATTATGACAAAGTTAATTTAAATAATTTCGTTAGTATGATTATCGGTTTTATGTTTTTAATATACTATAAACTTAATTTACTTTGTCTAATGTTCAATTTTCATTTAATGTCGGTTTATTATTATATTTTTGTTTAGATTATTATTTAACTCTATATATACGGCATATTTAACCTTTCGTTTATTTACTTCACCGTTCATATTAAAAGAAATTAGAAATACTCAATTACTTGTTTCTTGAGTTGTTGCTTAGACTACTTACTGGAATGTCTGTCATTAAGTCTCTTTCCTGCCTTCTAACATATAGTATTGAATGAACACAGAATGATTAGTAATAGTTATCATGAATGTACAATAATGTTATATTTTTATACCATAATATTAAATGAATTGAAATTCTGTATTATACCTTAATATTTGTGCATAGACATTTTCACTTATTATTATGGTGAAAGCCTTTTGTTTGTTATGTGCAAGGCAATAAACCTTAGTAAATCATAATACAAACCAATATTAATCTAAAAGGTGTTACCCATTGTTTTCACTTTTCCCAACTACAGATAATGAGTTTTCTTCACTTTTTACAGTAAATTAATCGTTTCATTAATGTATTTATTGCTGTTTTTAATTTTTTCCTTTTCCCGAAGGTTTGTAAAAAACGAGGTATTCTTCGTAGAATCGATAGTGGATGTAATGTTACGACATCACTTGTTATATCCCGTATTATGAAAAATAGGCAAGTGATATTATTTCATAACTGTATAGTTTTGACTAAGTTATTTGAAGATAAGTTTCACCCAAAATATAAATAACCTGGAAAGATATTTGGAATCAGATAATAAAGTATTTGAGCGTGACAAGCTCTCTTGACTTATCTTAAATGTTTCACCAGTCCTGACAGGCTGATGGTTGGAGAGATCTCATCACGGAATTACCTTTGTACTGGCTTTCGCCGAATTGCGTCACTTGTGGCCCAGGCGAAATATTCGTCTGACCACCGAAGAACAACTTTACTGTGTAGCATTTCACTCTATTCTACTTTATAGGTGTGAGACATGGCCATTTGGATATTCGTAGGTTTCTAGTATTTGATCATAGATGCCATCGAAGCGTCACTCGTATATTTTGGGACCATCGAATGAGCAATGACAATGTTAGGAATAGGAAACTAGGTAAATCTGTTGACAAGGTAGTAAATATTCATTAAATGAGGTGGTTGGGACTTCTTTTACGTTCGTCCAACCACCGTCTACCTCGACGGTTGATGTTTTATGGTGGGAGACTAGGTTGGAAGAAAATTAGAGGAAGCCAAGACATAGCAACAGTCTATGAAACCATTGATAACTGAATTGACCTATTTTAAATGATGTAGATTGCCTGGTTGGTGCCCACGTGATTTTCGTAATCTATGTTTTTCAAGATATTGAGTGACATGGCTCAAAATCGTTCGCAATGACACAGGTACATCCGCTCTTTGCCTTCCGTTTAGATGCCAGTTTTCTAAATTCCTCAAAATCTTTTTTTGACTAATTTATATTTTCTTCAATCGTATAGTAGATGTCTAATCTTTTCTATTACCACTGGTACTGTTGCTACGTCTACTGCTCTGGGATTTACCTTAACAATTTCATCTCATTGCGCTAAAAGAATATGGAAACTTGAATCGATGTACACACATGCTAGGTTTTAAGTTGCGTTTGACTGACTGACCAGAGAGCGCTTTTGACAATTGTGTCATCTTAGTGGCTCTTAAATAGCACTGTTCACCCATGATCCCAAACTGAACCGAACCGAGGACCATCAAATTATTATCATCCCTTGTATATCTCTTACGTATCTTTGTGTTCTGCAATGTCGTTTTGGAGTTACTGCGTGATTCCAAATTGGATTAACTACACAGTTTTCTACTAGAACGTCGGGAAGTCCACCTCAAAGATAATCACACACGATAATTAGTAGGGCAATTTTTTTTAAAGATTTGACATTGTTCAGACGTAATTTCATGATAAGGTGAGTCTTTTGTATTTATCATCATGTGTTAGCATCTGTTTAGTTTTTATCAGTGGGTAATGTTAATTGCCTCTATTCTTACTAAATAATAGAGCAACACAAAAGTTTTTGAATTAAATTCGATGGACTCATTACAATGTTACTTTAAACAAACGATAGAAGGTAGATACACCATGTTATAGTTTTTTCTATAGCCAATTAAGTAATACAATATAAAAGGTTCACTACAGTAGAGTATTAAAAATGTGACGTGCTTGCATAAATTCTGTGTCACATGACATTCTAAGATAGCATATATTTGATATAGGTTCGTACACATTGGTTTCGTCCGTATCCTGATGACGATATTTACCACTGGTTTTAAATAGAGTTTCCTTGCTTATCTATAACGAATCTACTAACTTCAATCTAAGTGACAGGTGTCTGATATCAATTACTTTTTCAGGGCCACCCTCATTGCACGAAAATAGTTATTTTATGTCTTCTCAGGAAGAGGTTATAAGCATACGGTCATTTGAGATCATTTCCGGAGGTAGGGTGGACTCTTCAAACCCTCGGAAACCAAAATCGAAAGTCTTTCTTTAGTGAGTTAATCAGGTTGCGAAATTAGCCAGCCATTGCGCAAAGGATTTTATGTCTACTGAGAAATCAGAAATGTATAGTAATAAAGAGGTACAACAAAAAATACACTTCATCTAATAAAGCGATTCTTTCAAGTGAACGTAAAACCATAAAATTCCTTAGCGTTATTAAGCTAATTGTGTAATATAATTGTCCCTTAATCACTCCAAAGTTTATACTTCACAAACATACATCTCTGATATTATTAAGTAAATGTTAGTTGTAATTCTTCTTCCTTAGTTCGAGATATTGTATAATAATAGGAGTTCAATTGTTAAAAGCATTTGACCTAACTATCGAGTTTAATTTTAACTAGTTTAGCTTGAGTTACTATCGGACACCGAAGTACATAAATCTATAATTTGTTAATTTGATTAAGATTATGGGTCGATCAATGTTAGAACACCATTGAAAACGTAGAAGCCCTGGACGGCCATTTCGTCCTAGCATGGGATTCCTCAGTAGTGCACATCCACGGTCCCGCACGCAGATTTCCAACCTAGGACCTCCGGTTTCATGTACGGATCGTGGATGTGTAATGCTGAATAGTCCCATACTAAGACGAAATGGACGTCCAGTGCTTCTATATTTTCAACGGTGGTTTAAAATTGATCGATTCATGATCTCAATACAAACTCAACAATCTCCACAACCCAATATTAATAATTTATTATTTGTTCAGTCTCACTTAAAGTTGAATGAAACATAGCACCATTTTCTTCAAAATCAAAGAAAGAAATTGTTCTAATGTTGTAATGTTATTAGTTTTTTCTACTTGAGATTAACTTTATTCTACTTTCTTGTTTTGATATATCATTCCGTACACACACATTTTCGCGTACTCATACACTGTGCACATGGTAACTAACCAACTTTAGACTTCTTTACGAAGAACGAAATCAGAAAAAAGTGAATAGAGAAGTCCAGTTGGCGAGTAAATTGTTGACAAGTAATTAATTAGATTGTTTTTTTATTGTCAACCTAACAACACAACAATTAATTGCTGATTTCTCTTGTTTGTTTTTTGTCAACACTGCTTATTCATTTGTTTTCGTCACCTTTCTTGTCTTCATCTACTTTAAATTGTTTTTATTTGATCCAAAAAAATGAAAAGAATGTGTCTTCTCTCTCCGTCTCTCATCCTGTCATCTCACGTAAAAGTGAGAACAATAAGACAGTGAATATGAATATAATGGAGATCCTACTGATTGTAAATTAATCTGTCTATTAATCCCACATCGTTTTTTACTAATAATTATAATTTCAATAGTTGTGGAAATTCAATTTACATTGGCCAAATTAATCTTGTTAAATTACTGGTATTATTAATGATTCTATTGGAAATAAACGAAAGGAAATATCAACAGTTAAACATTCTTCATACACTCAGTTCACATTGCAAAATATTGGATTTAATTGGTGCGTTATAATAATTTGCGAAAATATATCACCTTGATATATTTAAATACAAGTAACATCTTGACCGTAGCTGTTACTGTGACGTGGTGGTTGGGCTTGCCTATTTTTATGATTCAACCGGGCTGCAACTTATGTTCGTTTAGATCCTACCACGCCAACCAGGTCGTTTGGAGAACTATAAGACCTTAAACAGTATCTTAAGACCCTAAGTTGTACTGCTGAGTGTAAAAGGAAACGAAACGGACGACCGGCATTCGCATTGATGCTGTCTTCTCATAACGGAAAGAAGGGGTTAGAAAAGGTTGATCCTAGAAAATATCACACCTCACCTTACCCACAGATTTCTGTCTCCGTCGGTAAGGCTTTATTTACAAAAGACTAAAAAAAGTGTAGAAAATATTTTGCGGATTAATGAACTGAACTGAGGTTAATTAACAAATAATTCCGTTTATGCCAGTATAAAATCAATTAGTTATCTAATACTTATCATCAATAAAATTGGAGAATGTATGTATGTACAGTGTTGTAAATAAAAATAAGAAATAAATATATTTTTTTGTAAGGAATAGTAAAGATTCATGTTGTCGAATGGGGACAACGGTTACGTGTATGACCAGGTTGTCGGCACAACCCACAACATCTAGTTAGAGTGGATGATGCGGATAAACTACTATCTTTAAAGACACGATTTTTATTCCTAGAAATTGCACCTAGTAAAAGAGAAAAAAATAAATGGAAATTACACATTGGTTAAGTATTAAGTTCCATTTACAATTATCATTATTATTGATAATAAAAGATAAGATAGGCAACTTGCCTCTTGAATTATTTGAAGCTGGAGGAGGCCATGATGGGACATGACCGACAGAAATATTTGCTTCAGCACTCACTACTGTTCTATTATAACTGGGTCTTTGTTCAGTACTTGATCCAGATGCATATCGTCTGCTTGAAAGCCCATAAGTGAATGAATCCGACTGTCCTGATGCTGGATCAATATGATCTGCCCACTGAAAAAAATTACATCCAGATGCTGGACCACCATCGATATTAGGACGACTGTTTGGACATGCGTAAAAATGACGACCCTTGTTAGACGACTGTTTATTGACAACAAGTCTAGTTTGTTGTAGAAAAAAATGAAAGTGCTTAACCATCTGAATAGTAAAATCTGACGAAAAAACGATACAACATCACAAGCAAATAAACAAAACAGGTAATGGTTTTAATGTTATATAACATTAAGCTTCCGACTAATGTTTTAATAGTACCTTGAAGTAAACAACGAAAGCACACATATTCCTATACTTTTCGGAACATCCGTAAACTATGTGTGTTCGAGCTAGATAACTCGAAAGAGTTTATGCTTTAATGCAATCGGACTATTGGGTTGTCTTGTTAGCGGACATAGACATAAAGCATGCTCAAAGAACGATTGCTTTGGTGCACGCTGATTGGCTAGTTTTTGTCCAATCAGCGCTAGTTGATACCAGGAGAATGCTCTAGAAATATTCTCATGTAAAACTATAAATATAACGTTTTTCCTATTGTGCTTCTTGCTTCCATCTAATTTATTTGGAAATATAACCTGTTTCCTGTTCCACCGTATTTTGATTTGGGGACGTGTCGAGTGAATATGTGTCCGAGAATATTAAGCAATAGGAATTGCTGGGTTATAACCGTAAGGGAGAATTATAACAGTTCTCTTCACAGGTAACCAATATTTGAACAACAATAACTCCACAAATTTAATGTTCATAAACTTTTAATACTAATAAATAGTGAACAATCTAACATAATGTGTAAGCAATCAAGATTCGTTTATAAGACATTAGGTAATATACCAGTGAAATGAACACGGTGAACAGCAGATTTTGTGTGTTCCACATAGGAATAATAACAAACTGATATGTGGTCAGTAAAAGTAGGTGTGACTGGCCACTGAGAGTGGACATACAGCGATAAAGGCTACAAATTACTAAATATGTGAAATCTTTTTCTACAATTGATTTCAACTCTGAACTCACTGAGATTGATTGTTTGTAATTGCATGAAATAAATTATTGTCTAGTCTATACCCTGGTTCTCTAATTTAGGGTCATGAGTCGTGTATCTTATATAACGTGATCTAATCTATGTATAGTGGTACCAACCGAGTATCCGATATGGTAACAGTATATTTTCGGTCAGCAGTCATAATCGTAGAATAACAATATATCGTGGAACGAGAGAAAATAATTTTAATTTGTCCGTTATATTACACATACCTTTAATTAGCATAAAACTAGTATAATGCATTTCAGAACCATTTTATGGTTAAATTATAGAAACAACATCAACTGTAATGTAAAAATAATGATAGTCTTCAATTTGCGTGCTTCCGTATTATCTTATCGCCAGTAGAAATTTTATAAAAAATCACTGGGAAACGCTAATTTCTTTGTTTATCTGATGTTAAAAAAAATAACTAGATAATTATAGGTAGTTACATTATCTAAATAGTAAACAGTGAGACTATTTCTACTATCAAGTACAAATCAAAGGTCATCATCCTATCATACTAACCCTCTCCAATTTCACATGATAAAGTAAGATCATCTCCATAGTTCCTAAATTGCTCAGCACCTTCAGGCTAAATTACTTTCACTTACTAAATTACTCACAACGCGTCGGTGAGAGCAGTTTCGCCCTATGCTTGTGAAACCTGGCGTCTCCGAGTTGAGGACGTTAGACAACTCTCTGTGTTCGATCATCGTTGTCTCCGAAGGACTGCTGACATCCAGTGGCAACACCATGTTAGTAATGCAGAGGTTCGGCATCGTGTGTTCGGGCACAGAGACGACAATCCAATCAGTGTCACCATCTTGAAACACCGACTTCGGTGGCTTGGACATGTTCTACGAATGTCGTCCCAGAGAATTCCACGTCGTGCATTATTTGCCGACGCTGGGGACTGGTTGGAAAAAGCGAAGAGGTGGTCAGTGTATGACATGGTTTCGTCGTATGAAAGAAAGCTGTAAAGGGCTATCTCCTGTTGGTCCTTCTCGACTCCCTGGCTGGGGTCCGAAAGATGGTGTAACACAGTGGCTAGGAACGTTATCAGATATGGCTCAGAATAGAAGCCAGTGGCGATCCTGCTGTAACCTTCTTTTATTTTCTTCCTTAACTGAAAAATTTCTTCTGATTGTACCTTTTTGTTTCCCCCATTATTACTACTATTACACTACCTTACACTAATCTGTTCGTTATTGTTATTTTTTAAGCTCCTTACCCTTCTTTTTTCTCCTGTTTAAATTCTCATTGCTTTGTGTGGCGCATATATATTTAGTGTCCACTTTTATCAATATTTATGTGTTCAAATAATAATAATAATAATCTTTATTATAATAGTCCAGTGCTCGCAGGTGATTGAATATGAAAATGAATTTCCAATCGAAAACGGAAATATATGGAGTTTAAAGATATTAGAAAAAAGACAGATATCAATGATAGAAACTTTTCCCTATTCTTTCATTATAGGCTTTATTTCAATAACTAAGTGACTGTAATGAGAATATAGGAATTACGTCAGTTTAGCTGGTCAGTCACAAATTCTAAATCCATTCAATCATACGATTTTAATCTGATATGACATAAGCAATAACTAAATACTTACAATTTTGCAGGCTCTCCGCAACGACAAATAACACAAGGTGAATTAGAGTCTGAAGAACCTAAGCCAGAGGTTGTATTACTGACACAATTAGCATTCTCATATACGTTTTCAAGACGAGAGCATGGGTCGATGAAATTCCGGAATGGCCTTATGAACAACATACGATTAGAAAAAGAACGGTCATTGAACACATGCAAATAAAAACACAAGGGATAACTGACAGAACAGTTTTCCCCATTGTCTAAGTTGTTAATTACAAAATACAATAATCAAGACAAGCGTTTGGTAAAAAAAATGTTTTCGAACCGCTACAAACAGATATTGAACTGATTTTAATTTAGCCCTAGACGATGAAGTCTTAAAGCGCTAAGATGCCTTAGAAACCATAGAGAAAATCATAATTTTTGCTGAACAAGTCGCCCTTAAACCATGTTATTTAACAAATCCGATCAATAACTAACAGTGATTGAGGTAGCAGCAAATAAGTCTGCCTGCATCGAAACAATTCAGTCCAATGGAGTTTAGAAATAATTATCGGAATTGAGATTATCAACGAACTTGGGGATGATGTTACCACTGAACACGATAATACTACAGACAGTGATGATAAAACACTAAATGGTGTCGAACATTAGAATTTGTGTTGATTTTTGACGACGACAATTAAATCATGTTGTGGTGAAAAGCCGGTAGGTTGATGTACAAAATAAATGCCATTATTAACATAGAATAACCATATGTTTCACTCTACCTATAGAGCAAACAATCACATAGATACATGAACATCTCAATTATTCTGAAGTGTAACTATCAAGGCAAAGAGCAGATACAAGGACATTGTTTATCTTGCAAAAGCACTCTGCACTTTAATTGCGTAAGGGACATGCTCTGTACAGTGTTCAGATTATCCTATTTTTCCTCTGAGTAAACAAAAATTCAAATCGGTCCTCTGCAAGAATATTTTGAACATACATGACATAAGGAAATGTAAGATACTTTAATCGTCCTCACAAAAGTTAGATGTTTTACTTATCACATCTCAACCATATCGTCTGATCGATCAAATACTCTCAGTAAACCATCTAGAACGACAAATTCATTAATTTAGATCTAGCCATATTTTAGCAGTTTTCCTCACAAGTAGACACAAAAGATGAAGGTGAGGCTTTTATGTTGGAAACGATACTGTGGTGATGATAATTATGACAATAATGTTAAGCAAATTGAAGATTAGACAGGTATCATAACCAAGGTTTGACTTGATAATTGGAAATAGATTGAGCATTGGGTTAATCTTACGTTGTTCATTTGTACCATTTAAGTTTGGATTAATTTTGATTTGGTTACTTATTCTCTGAAGAAGTGGCTTACACTGAGTCACGAAACGTCAGAAAATCTAATTTTTCAACTCATTGGGCTATTACAAATATACTAATTTATTTGTGAAGATTAGATAGTTTGCATAAAAAATTAAAGCAACTTACACTTGAGTACTCGAATACAAAGGACTAGATTGAGCACTAGTTATTGGAGTTGTTTGGGATTTCCATAAAAAGAAATCACATGAATTACCTGTTACTCCAGAACAACGATAAAACAAACGACCTGAAAAATAAAAAAGCTTATAATAAGAACTAAATTTACAAAAACCTGTTAATAAATTTTCAAGCTGAATAGTGAATGGAGTAGACAGACAGCATTAAATATGAAACAATATCGGTAAGCTGTGGTCCTAACCAAAAAAGGAAATTAACAGTTTGTGTAGGGCAAATTACACAGAAACCTATCTGAAAAGAAAATAACGATGATCGGTTACTCATGTGTGTTGGACCAAGTTATTATAGCAAATTAGCATAAGATGCGAATAACAAAATAGATTACAAAAGAAAATGAAATAATGTAATGACAATGAGAAAGACTAAACATTGAGAACATATTTCAAAAAGACACGGTAGAAAGGTATGTATAAAAGAATATTGGAATCCGAGATCTACAGGAAAATAAAGATAATATATCTGCACCATTTTAAACGATGTTAAGCCACGTCACCCAAAGTCTTGCAATACTGATCGCAGTTATCACCTCTACACAAACCAGGTAACCTGCAACTACTACCATGGCTTAAGAAATGATTAGTAAGCCAGTAACAGAAAACGCAGGATTCGATACAGCCAAGAATCTATTCAAGGTGTTTGTTTCATTTGAACGTAGTATGAATTTGCAGAGATGGGAACCAGATGAAAAGAAAATGATTATGCTAACTACGGTGGAAATGGACAGTGAATATGGTTCTGAGAGAACAAATGAATAAATTGACTCTTCAAACCGTAGTAGATAGAGGGCTGCCTGAACCTGAGATCGTTTGGTTGAAAACTGAACTGTTGTAACCACTAAGCCTGTCATGAATATTCGATGAGGTAATAGTCTCGTTAGTTGAATTCTGTAAACGTAAGATCTTCAAGCAAACAGATTAATACGTCTAGTAAAAATAAACAAATCCTTAAGAACTACCACCCTGAAAAAATTCCAGGTGTGAATACTGTTGACTAGCTTTGAGATAAAATTGTCAAATCCTTAGCAGGAACCTGTGACCTGTAACGTCAAATACATTGGAAAACACGCAGTAACTGATTAAAAATGGTGATGACCGTGACTTATTGAAAACTAAAAGTCAATCACACGAACCAGTTGTATAAAGATATTATGGTCGTCGACAAGCCTGATTCTGAAAGCACGAGCGCACGCCAATTAGAAGTTCCTTAATGGCTGTACCGACTGTTAACAGTTCTCACTCGTTTCCGATTGTTTTCTAAGTCACATCATTTCGTTATGAAAACTAAATCCAAATTTAAATAAAAGCAATTAGGATAGCACAGTAAGTGATACAGAAGCTTCAATATTAATACTGATAATAACGACAAAAATATTATAACTAAATAAACATAGTACAAGATCATAGACAACATCACAACAATCATTTATAAACCTTGATTTGGGCCTGGTTTCTTAACAGTCAACTGAATCGCTGAATGACCACAATTGCACAAGATATTATCTGAATCATCAGCCTCTGCGTTGTCAACAGATCTTGAGAAATTAGGAGACCGAGGTAGAGTATTATGGGATGAATTATTAGATGTTGGATGTAGATTTAAATAAGGTTTCGCATGCAATAGACTGAAGGGATTATGATAACTACCAATTGTAGTAGATGAAAATGAAAAAGGAAGGGGAGAGGAGGAATTAGGTGTTTGTGAAGTAAGAGGATCTCGATTAGCGTTGAATTCATTCGAAACAGCTGTTTGTGAAGAGATGGATGAATTATTCACTAGACGAATATGAATTCCTAATGTTCTGCAAATATCTTCATCGCAAAATATACAAGTTATATATCTGTATAACAGGAATTTGAAAAATAAAAAAATAAAACAATACTAGAGTAACTGGCAGGTTAGAATTTAATTATAAAACATTAATAGAATGGCAGTTGAAATACAACCTTGTTCGATTGCACTCAACGGGAGGATTATATTGGTACGACTCTGAAGTTTATAAGTAGATCATACTGATGACTAGCAAATTAGTTAAAATAAATTTATTAATTTATATTTAGTCCTGTTAACAAAGTTCTAATAAGATGTATAGTTATCTGTTTAAGTGACCATATTCAATATCTAATCAGTAGAATTTGATTTGTACTGTCGACTAAATCAATTAAGAATAATGACTAATATGTAAGTTAAATCTAATTCCAGAGCAGGTTAGCCATATTTCCAATAGACTAAGTGACAGTATATTTGACAAAATTGGCTAGATACAATTTTAATATGTATGTACAACTCAACTTAGTAACAAAGGCATTAGTACGATCACGTGGACGTTGGTGTACAAGATAAATGTTTTTCGGATTCTGTGCCATAACAATTAATAAAAAGGACAAATATTAACATTCCATCTCTAAGGTATTGGTCAAGTAAACTCCAAACTCTTTTTCGGAAACATGACGTGAATGCAAAATAATAATAATAAATTATTTAATTAATTAATTACGGAATTCACGCCAGTTTACAGGCATGATCAATTTGGTATAAATAGTATCATTATATGTACAGAACGAACATGTGATAGAAGTTTTAAGTATACTAGTTCAGTAATTGTTTAGGTAGTACATGTATTACAGCGATCCAATGCATCAGCCGGAAACTTAATTTTTCTTAAATGGACAGCCTGTTGTTTTATGAACGGAGTAATTAAGGTCATTTCGTGTGCCAAATCGAATTAATGATAATTATCTACAACCAGAGAAATTAAAACAAAAACAGAGAGCACAGAACAACAAAGCAGTAATTACCAAAATGCGTATATCATGTGACACAGTAATATACTGTTGATTTTATTCAAATTAGTTAAACTTGCTAGGCACGGTGACAGCAAGTAGGTGGTTTTATTTATGGAATGCACTAATAAAAATGGCTAAACACTTAAAGTTCCTATAATATCACTTGTGGAATGAGATACACTTACAGGTGCTAGAACATTCAATGCGTTTTCAGAGGAGCAGTGTGCATCGATGCAACGAACAAATAATGGGAGCGATTTTATCGTACGGATATGTTGTGGTAGGTTATTCCAGAGTCTAGAAAATTTACAGGCAAAGTAATTCATATAAAGAGATGATTTAGAATAAGTTTGTTTCACTAGTGCCAAGGAATTACGGATGTCATAATGAGAAGTTTCTGCATATTGAATCACGTGAGTGGATGTAAAGGATAGTTTATTAAGTAGTTTGAAGAAAAAGATAAGATTTAGTTTGAGTCTCCTCTTCCATAAAGGGTCTAGCCCAAGTTTATTACATCTAGAATTATAAGTTAAGGTACAATCAGATCGGAGAATACGAAGTGCAAATCGTCTCTGTACTGATTCCAGCCTTAATTTATTCTTTATGCGCGCACTGCTAAGAATAAACGTGCAATATTCTAGAAGTGGTCGAACACAAACTTTGTACATTAAAATACGTGACTCATTGTTATAAAGGTTTCGACTTATGTAACCTACTAGACGTCGAGACTCAGGGGTCTGTTTCAATATCTGTTTTGTAAACGACAAGTCGTGGAAGTACCTAAGTCTACTACTGTATGTAACCTAGACAACACTTCACCATTTATGGTAAGATCTAAGTTGAGTGATGTATCGTCGAAGCATATCCACCCACATTTAGCCGTATTACGTTCCAGTTGCCTTTTTAAGCACCACTGTGCTATAATATATTGTCGACATTTCCGAAATTCAGACAGAACTTTATATAAAGCTCTTTTAAGACTCTAACAGCATAATAGACGTATGAAGTCTCGAAATTAAAATAAAGGACGCGTCTGGAAAACAATACTATTGAAAAACATTAATATCAAAGACCTACAGACCTGGGTGTTGGCTACATTGTTAAGGTAGAATGTACATCCTACAAAACGAATCAATAAGAATAAATATGACACGTAGGACATCAGAAAATTCCGTCAAACATCCATTAACGATTAAGAAAACTAAACAAATTAGACGTTATACTTTCATATTAGGTAACCTAATTAAGGTAAACAAAGCTTCAATCAGAAGCACGTATAATTGCGGGGGGAGGAGGTACATAAACACTGTATGAAATAAAAACACGTTAAAACCCAGAAATGTTTGGTGCAGTGGAGAATTATCTGAAGTTAAAAAGCATAAATCTTAAAATTATCGTACTTAAGTAAAATGACTACCGACAAACGGAATCCTTGTAATTAAATCTACAAAATAATCCATATGAATAACACCTCTACATATGAACTATTTAAATCCCAATTAGTGACACTAAGTCGATTACAGCACTCCCCACATACAACACCAATGTGCTACTGTACAAAAGTGTAAACATAGTAAAATGTAGTACTTTCATGACAGCAATATCATGACACGTTTTATCTCTATTTGCTTTCGACAATATATACCATCTCTAAATTTATTATATGTTAGTGGTCTATAAAAGATGTCTGGCGCTTTAACTCCGTTGGTGGGTATGGAAGATCCACATAGGAGAGTTGGAAAACCCTGATTCCAAACCTATAGTGCACATGGGCTTCAGGACCCTGAGGGACACCTGCTTCGGTTTGGGTGCCTGGACAGTATCCCAACCCTCTAACAATTCGAATGACGAAGTGTGGTGCACATATATTTGGTGTCTCTTCGTACCTATATTTATGTGTTTAAACAAAAAAATAATAAATTTTACTCAGTTAAATATGAAAAAAGTCTTGTAAGAGTATTGGATTAAGATTTATGTGATAATGTGATACAAACACGAATTTCAACATATCAATCATCACTACCAAAGTATAAAAAACTACAATGTAAAGTGGGAATATGGATGACTGACTGCATAGCCCTTACAACGCGGTAAGTTATAACATACACTTCATATAAATGCGAAGTTTCGTCAAGCATTAGCGTAGGCAGTTTATATATTTACCAACACTGATTACTCCTTGATATCTTTTATCTGAATGGCATATAATTGAACAATAAGAATGTATTCTACATGAATAACGAATGTATAATAATAATAATAATAATAATAATAATAATAATAATAATAATAATAATAATAATAATAATAGTAATAATAATAATAACAATAATAATAATAATAGTGACAATAGTAATAGTAATGATAATACAATAATAATAATAATACTTACTCTTTAGTATCATCATCCTGAAAGTAACCATTTGGCAAGTAAAAATTGCGTCGAAAACGTAAGCCTAATTTCGACGGCCTTAACTGATCATTAGAAGAACGTACAGATGAGGAAGTTATGAAGTTTGTACAACGATTGCACGTATTTTCATTCGATTCAGATAAAACACGAACATGAATGACTGAATCTGGAAACCAAATTGCATATCGACAATTAGGATAGCCAGAACATGAGAGAAACCAGCCACCATTACTTGTTTGATTTACTTCATTTGAACTTTGAAAAAGATAGATATTTTAAATGATTTGCAGGACAGACATACAAAAGGTCATAGAAAAGACTAATCGGTAAATATTGTGAGAACAGTGTACAAAACAATTTGGATGAAAATAAACTAAGTAATACCAATTACTCAGTCAGAAAAAAAGAATGTAGTTCAAAAACTATGGATGAAGGAGAGACGATTCAATCAGATCATAACAGAACTTAAAAGTTCTTTAATGAGATAAAATTCGAGCAGTTACCAGTTAGAGAAAAATAACTATGCACAAATTGACTCAATTCCGTAAAAAGCCTTTAAAAGTTTGGCTTCACACTACATAGTCCGTTTTATGAAGAAACGTAGACTGAACAAAAGTGGTGTGAATCTTTCATGAATTGCCCGAAATCACCTGTACATGATATGATGTAAAAATGAGATCCTCATCATGGAGTATGTGAATGTTTGTCCAGATAAAGATTAAAGCTTTAAATAAAAAAAAATCGGCTGAATTAGGCCGGTAGTAAAAGAGGGAATTAAAATTCAACCAGTGTAAATCTGTGTTTGTTATCATCCTAATTCGCTTAGTCGTATCGTAAGCTCGTTATTTTTTTACAACATATAAAAAACTTTTAGTGTGATAAGAAAAATACACAGTAATTGAGACCCAAACCATGGATTCCAAATAGGCTAATTTATTTTATTGAAGAAATTTACGAAACAAAGTACGGAATAATTTTCTAATAAAAGATTACCCATAGATATGACTAAAAATTAAGATATGCGTAGGTAATCAATCAATATCATGTAACAAATTCGGAATTCATGGTAAACAGCAAAACAATGGAAACTATCCTATTAAGATATTACGCTTAAACAAACTGAAATAAAAAACGAATACGGAATTTCGTCAAATTGTAAAGTTTCACCTTAATCAGTGAGTAAATTACTAGATAATTATTTCTGAATTCTTACGAACACAAAAATCACTAACAGAGCTGAAAGTTATGACCTTAGTGTCCAAAATTACATGAGAGGATTTGGAACACATGAACATGTAAGGGGGAGTATTCTTATTGAAGCAAAAAAAATATAGAAAGTATGGTGTTATCATACATGAATATGAAAGCATTAAAACTAACCCAGAATTATTTGAAAGATTTGAACCAGTTGTTAACGGACGTAAAGCACTCCGTTTTTGACGAAGTACTAGACCAGAATGACAAGTAGGGCAAAATGCAACAACCGGATTTAAAACGTTGCTTTGATTATGTCCATCAGTAGTGTTATTGGCAGCAGCAAGTGAGGCCATCTCACCAATACTACCAGATATATCTACAAAAATTGAAAAGGGGAAAAAACAAAACAATATCTTAAAACTTGTAGCAGTAAATAAATAGTTCTGCATATTTTCGATGTTTATGCTGACCTTATTAGTTTTACTGGATACACCCTAGCTGAGGGTGCTCAGTTACGCATCCACACCAGATCACGAGAGGGTAGGCATCATGTACTATGCATCCCCTGAACAACTTCTACAAATTCAACACTTAAATAAATTCCGTATATTATTTGCTTTAACATTAACAGTCTAACCAATGCTCAATTAAATGGAAATTATCAAGTTAAACCTTGATAATGATAATGTGTGGAGTTACACATGTTTCCAACCATTTGAGTATTTAAATCTTGCTCAAGGTCACAGTTCAGTGAAACTGATGACCTAACTTGAAAATAATTTGGAAGTTATTAACTTAATAAACCTATAGTCCATATCACAAGCCTAACACTATATCAATCTAATTCCTCATAATCTTTGGTTTTGAACAAGCATTTAATTTATCAGAATTTACTATTATTTCTTTCCCCTACTCTTCTTTCTCTCGCTTCACTGTCATTATAACCTGGGATTTGAAAGTGATTTTACGTTGCTGGTTTAGTTAGTGAACTAACGCAAGTTATATATATATAAATCTGAAAATATCACGTCGACTATCATAGCATGTAAGCAAGACCACAGATTAATCAGAAATATGTATCATAAAATTGTAACTGATTTTTTTATTCTAAATAAAAGGCAAAATTGTTGCTAAATTTAACGTCAACAGGAAATTAAACTTTATATTTATACATTAATTTTAAAATGTCTCTTCACATCATGATTTGACATCTGGAACCAGAATTACAAATGAGTTATATATATATATTAGATAAATGTCGCAACAGTCTGCAGTTTAAATTAGATAGGTGTCCATATATGAGTGCGTGGAGAATTAGGCAAAGAAGCCAAATCATTTAAAAGAGCTATGAGCTTCCACTGAATGAGAACGTTAGGAAATCGAATACACACACATCCTTTGATACTCAATAATACGGTAGACTGGAAGAACGGTAGGAAGAAGCTAAATTGAGATATGGAATTCATCTGTAAAGTCAGACTATTTGATCTGAGCCATGGCGAAAAACATAGACTTTCTGTCCAAAGATTAATTAAGAGTCGCACTCTATGCCTGGACAGTTAGTGGAACAATTCAAAATCGGTCGTAATAGTGTATATGTACACATAATCTTGACCTAAAGTTTGAGTCAGTATATTATGCTGTACATTTCAGTTTTCAATTTATATATATATATATATATATATATATATATATATATATATATATATATATATCCTATGTTAACTCCGCCTGTAGCTCTTCCAGAGTTACTGCCGGTCCCAATCCCGGGTAAAGGAGGAGGGTTGAGCATGGGGTTAGCGACCCCATCCCGTAGAAACCTAACTCGCTAAAAATCGTTAACCAGAAAAAATAACTCAAACCATTCAAACTCTGCCCTGAGAGTTAGAGGTAATATGACACTTCATGGTGAAAGCCGAGTTCCTTCGGAAGCCACGAGGCCGATGCCCCTTCTAACAACCAGAGCAACAATTTTTATAGATACATGGAACGTCCGGACAATGTGGGAGACCGGGAAGACCAGTCAAATAGCAACGGAAATGAGGAGATACAATTTGGCAGTACTGGGAATCAGTGAAACCCATTGGACCCAAGCTGGACAACAAAGGCTAAATACGGGAGAGATGCTGCTATACTCCGGTCACAAAGAGGAAAATGCTCCACACACTCAGGGAGTTGCTCTAATACTGTTCAAAGTAGCACGAAATGCACTTGTAGGATGGGAATCTCACGGATCCAGAATCATCAATGCATCATTCAAAACAAAGAAGGAGGGGATCACAATGAACATTATCCAATGTTATGCACCCACCAATGATAGCAACGACGAATTTAAAGATCAATTCTATGAGAGGCTGCAATCAATCCGAGAGAAGTGCCTAAGAAAGGACCACACCATTCTGATGGGAGATCTAAACGCCAAAGTCGGAATAGACAACACCGGATATGAAGATGTCATGGGACTACATGGACTGGGAGAGAGAAACGAAAACGGGGAAAGATTTGCAAATCTGTGTGCATTCAATAAATTGGTCATAGGCGGTACAACATTTCCACACAAACGTATACATAAAGCTACGTGGATCTCACCGGACCACACCACAGAGAACCAGATAGATCACATTTGCATCAATAAAAAGTTCCGAAGGACAATGGAAGATGTGAAAACCAGGAGAGGAGCGGACATAGCTTCAGATCATCACCTGGTTGTGGCCAAATTGAAACTGAAGCTAAAGAAGAACTGGACAACTGGACAAACAGCACCACAAAGGTTCAATACAGCCTTCCTTCGAGATACTGACAAACTCAATGAATTCAAGGTAGCTCTCAACAACAGGTTCCAAGCCTTACAGGATCTACTGAAGGAAGAAGAAACTACTATGGAGGATAGCTGGAAAGGTATCAAAGAAACATTAACTTCAACGTGCCAAGAGGTTCTGGGCCCCAAGAAACATCATCACAAGGAATGGATCTCTACAGAAACACTGGACAGGATCAAAGAAAGAAAGAACAAGAAGACAGCAATTAACAACAGTCGAACAAGAGCAGAGAAAGTCCAAGCACAAGCAGAGTACATAGAAGCAAACAAGTAAGTGAAGAAGAGCATTAGAGCTGATAAGCAAAAATACGTGGAAGAACTAGCAACGACGGCGGAAAAAGCTGCAAGAGAAGGAAATATGAAACAGCTTTACGATACGACGAAGAAGCTTGCAGGGAAATACAGTAAACCAGAGAGACCAGTCAAAGACAAAGAAGGAAGACCGATCACTGAGATTCAGCAACAGCGCAACAGATGGGCAGAATACTTCGAGGAACTCCTGAATAGGCCGGCTCCAACGAATCCACCGGACATCGACGCAGCACACACAGATCTTCCTATAGATGTCAATCCACCAACGACAGAAGAAATCAGAATGGCCGTCAGACAAATCAAGAGCGGGAAAGCAGCAGGACCTGACAATATACCAGCTGAAGCGTTGAAGTCAGACATCGAAGTAACTGCAAACATACTCCACCTTCTATTCAATCTTTGGGAGGAGGGACAAGTGCCGATGGACTGGAAAGAAAGACACCTCATCAAGATCCCAAAGAAAGGAGATCTGAGCAAGTGTGAAAACTACAGAGGCATTACACTACTGTCAATACCGGGTAAAGTCTTCAACAGAGTGTTACTGAACCGGATGAAAGACGCAGTTGACGCTCAACTTCGAGATCAACAAGCTGGATTCCGTAAGGACCGGTCGTGCACAGACCAAATTGCGACACTACGGGTCATCGTCGAACAATCAATTGAGTGGAACTCGTCACTCTACATCAACTTCATTGATTATGAGAAGGCATTTGACAGTGTAGATAGGAGGACGTTATGGAAACTTCTTCGACACTACGGAGTTCCTGAGAAGATTGTCAACATTATCCGGAACTCATACGATGGACTACAGTGCAAAGCCGTGCATGGAGGACAGCTGACAGACGCATTCCAAGTAAGGACCGGAGTAAGACAAGGCTGTCTACTCTCTCCCTTCCTGTTTCTTCTGGTGGTCGACTGGATTATGAAGACCTCGACATCTGAGGGAAACTACGGCATACAATGGACAGCTCAGAACCAATTAGACGACTTGGACTTCGCAGATAAAGACAGCCAGCATAGCAGCAGTCTCTGCATCAGTAGGCCTCAACATACACAAAGGGAAAACCAAGGTCCTCAAACACAACACGGAGAACAGCAATCCAATCACTCTTGATGGCGAAACTCTGGAAGACGTGGAATCCTTCACATACCTGGGAAGCATCGTCGATAAACAAGGAGGTTCAGATGCAGACGTCAAGGCGAGGATTGGCAAAGCTAGAGCGGCATTCCTTCAACTGAAGAACATATGGAACTCAAAACAACTTTCAACCAATATCAAAGTCAGAATCTTCAATACGAACGTCAAGGCAGTTCTACTGTACGGAGCTGAAACTTGGAGAACTACAACAACCACCATCAAGAAGGTACAGGTATTTATTAATAGCTGTCTACGCATGATACTCAACATCCATTGGCCGGATACCATCAGCAACAGCCTTTTGTGGGAGAGAACCAACCAGCTTCCAGCTGAAGAGGAAATTAGGAAAAGACGATGGAAATGGATAGGACATACATTGAGGAAATCATCAAACTGCACTACGAGACAAGCGCTAACTTGGAATCCTGAAGGGAAGAGGAAAAGAGGAAGGCCAAAGAACACATTACGTCGGGAAACAGAAGCAGATATGAAAGGGACGAATAAGAACTGGAAAGAGCTTGAAAGGATTGCCCAGGACAGGGTTGGATGGAGAATGCTGGTGAGCGGCCTATGCTCCTTCACGAGGAGTAACAGGCGTAAGTAAGTAAGTAAGTAAGTAATCCTATGTTACTCAGTGAGTGATGAATGCACTATCTGTAGTCAGTTAACCGTATCCATTATGTTCAAGGCATGAAAGCAACTTACTTTGAACATTTTCTGCTTCTTGTTCCAATCGAAGAGCTAATGCCCTGTCTAGGAATGATGCCTGGTTTAGAGCTAAACGAAATAATTCTTTGTACTTGTTCAAATGATGATGTAATACTTCTGAAAACATTTTTTAGAGTAGAAGTACGACATTTTAAAAGTGAATTCATGGATAGATAAGTGAAGAACAAAATCAGCATACGACAATAACAAATATAAATTTTGGTTTCCTATAAGTGTTCTCGTCTTAATGCATTAAAATTGCAGGACCGCATTTTTAAAAACTTTTGATTATTGAATAATACTTACCGGAGAACCAATGAAACCGCACAGTAAATACTAATGTGCATTTGTGATGCAACGCGAAATCGAATATTTCCTCTATTTGATTGACTCGAGAATTTATAGATTCCAAATCAAAACCTAGAATATTTATCTAAATACAAGTCACTAGTAATTAGTGAAGTTGTATGTAGTCAGATGACTGTCGATAGTTGTCACTATATTAAAAAAAACACGTGCATCACCGAAAAGGATTAACTAACTAAGCGACTCAGAACGAAGAATGAACATTTTCGGTTCAAGAACAGTGTAGGTTTGAGAGTGCGTACTACTACTAGATCTGAACTAGCACGAAGCAGTAATTAATCCTGGTATTTAAATACTGTTTCACCCCTAATCAGTGTGTGATGAAAGCAATTGTCTAATTGTATGAATCCTTTGAAAACATTTAATTGAAGTAGTCAATTTTTTCCTTTTGAGGTTGTTATAACTGGGAGAGAGACGTGCATGCGATTTGAGGAGAGAGAGAGAATCATTGATCGGACCAAAGACGCGTAAAACACGTAAGAAAAACCTAGAGTTTTGATTGGTCGTGCCACCCTGTCTAGCCCAGCCAGTTGAGTCCAGAACGCAAGTCTCAGCCTCTGTGATATGAATCGTTATATTTCAAACATACACTGTTTATATACCAAACAAACAGACTACATCGTACCATAAAATAGGAAGTAACATTTGCACAAGATTTGACCTCCAGGAAATGACACAAATAAATATTGACGAATAGGGAAATGACACGTTGGAAGAATACTGACCAATGGGGAAATGACACAATTTCTCATTCAGGAATTGCATTAGATAATTTCTGGGGTATTTTCTGAATACCCCAACAGAGGTATCTAGCGGGGGGATTGAAATACAATATGAATAGGTCCCTTCAAAACTCAGAACAAACCAAGTGTCATGTATTCAACTTTTTACTATAAGTTGTATAAATCAACTACATACCACAACGTTCATCTAAGTGTTCAGTTCACTTGTTCAATGATAGTTTGGTCAAAAAAGTATTTATTCACAGATATAAACCTTAATAGTTTTGTTTACCTTCATGAATTTTTGTCATACTGGATAGCAATTATGAGAAATATACTTTTGGTATATGACAAATGATTTAAACATGTTAGTGATGTAAGTCCTTCTTCCAAAGTTGTGACTAATTATTAAAAGCACTAATGAATCACTTGCTTGTTCTACATTATTCTAACGAATTGAGACTGGAATAATTCGATTAACCGACCAATATAATTTACCCACCAGCAAAGACGAATACTGAATAAAAAATTAGATTACAGTTCTACTAGTGGTCAGATCAGCCGCCAAAACAGATATGATACAAGTGATTTAGAGACGATTAGTTAAATAACGGAATCAATTCAATTTATGTAAACTCTTAGTCAACTCCTGTTTCTCAACAGTATATGGAAAAACTAAAAACGAATTAAAGAGATTGATCTCAATTATAGAAGTAAAAATTACTGGGGACCAGGTAAAAAGTTTAAGAAACAGATTCCCTTAAAAGTAGATGTTTACTTACCTTCCTTTGTTTTTCGACCTTCACATATTCTTAAAACAAAATTGAAAAAGTGGTTACTAGATAGGAACTGAATGTTCCTAGAAAAAACCTTTTATATAAATCAACAACTAATTTTAAGTGCCAGTACATCGGTAAAAAAACTTGAAGGATCCTGGTTAGTTATAGCAAAGTAAGATGGGGATTAATCTAGACTATGATGATCAATTTTGAGACATGTTACTTAGCTTTACCAACAAATGTATAATGTCTTCCGCAGCTATGGCAGAGTGATGTTGATTCACTTACCTTTAAATAATCAGGTTCACCAAGCTTGGAATTTAATCTTACCTATTTTGATTTGGGCAACCGGGTAGTGTGTTACCATCCATCTATATACAAGTTTGGGATAAGGTTGAGGACACGAAGCTAATACTCTATTGAAATCTGATTAAAGGAGTACAGTTAACCATACAGTTTAAACGGATGTCTGTTGAATTCGAAGATTGAATAATGGAAATCATAACCCATCTTTTGCCTACTCTTCAATTTAGCACATGTAATAGGTGTTTCAAATGGCTTAGTCAGAGTTGAGTGACAGTCTATATGATTCAATATCTTCACTTAGCACTTCAAGTCAAACATAATTTTTCTATTCAGGACTGCTACCAATAAACGTTCGTGAAGAATCCTATATTGATTATGAAGTCATTTGTTCACGATGGCTACTTATAAAAACTGTGTGCGATTTAAACGTCTTGATCTGAAGTAGATTGTGGATTAGAATTTTTAAATGCTTACATTAATAGGTCGAAATCAGGAAAACGACGGTATCACTTTTGTTCAACCATTATGGTTGCTTTATGATTAAAATAAAATATGCTAAATTTATTGAATCGTGACAGTAAAAATAGTGGTGAACCTTTCAAAACTAAGTTTTTGTTCAAGAATTAAACGGATTTCGTTTAATCTACTATTCACAACTGAGAATCCATTACAAGTTCAGAAATTGATGAGAAATTCGTAAAAATTCAAGGATTTAATGGAGTATTTTTTAATCTCTTGAGTACTAAGTACTCGACTTTTCTTCACTACGTTTTATTATCAAACAGAACAGATCAGTAGAATTCTAGAACAATTAATAAGACAAAAAAATCTATTTTAAATTATGAAAACAACTTACAACTTAAGGTCAGCTTCAAATTCCGATCGTAAATTAGGTTTAGACATTTCGAAACCCATGGAATCATAACCTTAAAGCGAAAAATATTTCATAATAAGTTCAATGCACAAATAATACAATCTTGATGAAAAATGACTGTATGATTAACATTGCAAACACTATCCATGAATTGATGATGGAAAAATTGTTTATATAAGAATCCAAGTGTTATAATTCTCTCTTACGGTTATAACCCAGCAATTCCTATTGCTTAATATTCTCGGACACATATTCACTCGACACGTCCCCAAATCAAAACACGGTGGAACAGGAAACAGGTTATATTTCCAAATAAATTAGATGGAAGCAAGAAGCACAATAGGAAAAACGTTATATTTATAGTTTTACATGAGAATATTTCTAGAGTATTCTCCTGGTATCAACTAGCGCTGATTGGACAAAAACTAGCCAATCAGCGTGCGCCAAAGCATTGAGCATGCTTCAATCCAATCTATGTCCCGCTAACACCAAGGAAGGATTATTCTCTCATGGTGGTGACCCCTAACACTTAGTTCAAACTTAAGTTTATTGATCAAAGCAGCAATTCAACACAGTTGATATTTTAGCTAGAACAGAAAATCACTACTTATCAAGTACGTAATGCTTTGCCAGATTAAAATCCATTTGTTGTTATAAAATGATTTCGATGTTTATTCATTGTACTTTTGCAAAAATTAACCGTTAATGTGGGAAAATCCCTTTTTTTACAAGATTCCTTGACTTGATTCTCAAAATGCAACACAAGCAAATTCTATAAAAAACCATAGACAAACCTTCCACTAATCCCATTCCTAATTGACCTGGAACAAGAAATTTGTTTTGCTCTAAACCGACATAAAGTCTTTGTTTAATTGTTTCAATATGTTCAGCGTGTGTAGCGTCTGTGCCGATCCCATGACGATCCATAAGGGAAATAAGATCAGCTTCAGTAAGCAAAGGCGGTGGACATGTTTGACCAGTAAGTATCTAATTGGAAGATTTAGTAATGCATAGTTAAAAAAACATAGATGTTATTATTTAAACACGAAACATTTCTTTTTTATGCAGTTCGAAATCAGATTAAGACGATAATTGAGGAACTTATGAAATATCGTATGCCCACTAGTGACTAAATTTGAGACAGATTCTGAAAGTCATATAGTAGACGGTAAAGTTTAACAATGCTGAAAGAGACATATATTGCTGATGGTATTGAATGATTACGGAGCAATGTCGCAAAATAAATGGAGTTGAAAATATGGATTAGTGATCTGAAGATGTGTTTATCAACAAACTTGGAGGCTCTGTTTGACCGCTAGTAGGACCAAGGGATGCGCATTTCTGAAGGATCCCGAATTACAACAGAACAGCCGTTTGGTGCTCTCAGTGGTTTTTGACTGTCAATTTGTGACAAATACTACATCGTACTCCTAAATTAACTCAAAGGGTATTGACACTTATTATTCGAAAGATACAATAAAGTTATAATTGTAACGAGTAAACAAAACATAGCCGGATGATGGTCAATACCAATTCAACTATAATAGTATCAAAAAATAAATCTACGAAATATTAGAACTTCAAACAGTAATTTGAACAAAAAAATTAATCTATCTAAAGCTGGATATAACAAAAGCCTAGATACCTTAAATTAATTAAATAACATTTGAAAACCCGACATAGAATTGACTGTTGATGATAATGAACAGAGCAATAAAAATATTCAAGATCAAATTTCTGCCTTTAACTAGTTAGATTGGTGAACAATTCTAATAATTTGTGACTACCGATCAGTTACCAAAGGGTACTCACGACTATAGATTCACATTATTAGACATTAAATTATCCTACCAACGGATATTTAGTTGCTGCCGAGATCCCTACATCAGACTGCTAACCGCTGTGATACATCGCAGTAATGATATTCGAAAGGAGTAGAGTTCTGAGACAGATTTTTGGCTAAAATTGTGATCCTTTGTTAGAAAGAACAGTAGAAGATACGGCACTGTTGACGATTGACCGACCAAAATATTACTTGACTGATGATTCCCACAGTAGTACCTAATCATTTCGTAACTTTATACAGTTGTTTCGTAACTATCCCTCATGCTTATGTTAAATAAGAACTTTATTATCAGTGATTACAAGAACAGAAATGCTTCCCACAAAGTATTGCAATAATAATGATGGCTATAAAGCAACTGGTTTCGAAATATTTTGTGCTAAGAATTCTATATTGTACCAAAATATAATATTGAATAAAGCCATGAAATAAATAAATAAATAAAGTGGTTGTTTGTAACATTAATTACTGAATGAAAACAATTTGACAACACAGAATATGAGAAGTTAAAATCACAAGACCAAAGTAAATTTTCGTAAAAATGAAAACAATTTGTTGACAATTTACACACACACACGTTACGATTATTATCGATAGTAGTAAACATATCAAGATCTTGACAGCAAACTCTATGGAAAAAATTGACATTAAATAACAACTTACTTGAATATTATCAGGTAAAATCCATTCACCTAAATGAAAAACAGGCATATCTTTTTCAGTCCACCGATCATAAATGTAAACTTCTAAGTAGTTCAGAGCCAAGATCATAAGACCTTTGGATTCAAATAATTCCCCATCTTCTGAAGTAAGTAAATTAGCCGTACTTAGACTTGAATTAAATGCTCTTGGAAGAGTAGGTTTACCAATACACAAACGAACTACGGTTTCAGCACCTTCTGCGTCTGTTGAAAGGCAAGCTAGAAAATGCCTAGTCACCAATTCATAGAGACGTGCTTCATCACCCTAAAACGTAACAGATAAAAGCAAATAAATGTTATTGTACAATTAGAAAGAACAATGATGTTCCCGATTGTTTGTATTTCTAACATGACATCACATCATGGTTTTCAAAAAAAGCTAAACATTCCAGTCATAGGGTAGAACTGCTATGCATCAAATTACTGTACACTGAACCTTATATAACTAGGTTACCGGTATAAGAATACTGACGATCACATATTTATCGTGGTAACCTAACAAGTTTGACTATACACATAAAGATCTTATTCACCCCACACCATAACCACAAATTATGCAGCTAAATAAAAATAAATTCAAATTATAATGCAATATAGGGTAAGGACTTGGAGCTAAAAACACAAGCGTATATCAACAACTGCAAATTGAAAAAAATATGATGCAAAAAACAATTCATCTACTCTGAGGAGAAAAAGTATGAAAGACAAATCAGTATACAGAGAAACATTTGACATGCTAGTGTTTAATCCTACTTTTAGTTGCATTACACTCTAACAACTCCACGCTCAAATCCGTATGATCTCTTTGATAAACCCGCTGAGCAAGAATCTTTTCAGGACTAACGGAAGCTTGAGAAAGAGAGAGCTATCAGGGTTTGGTACTGTGGAAATCGAAGTCGTGTAAATGAGATAGTTACTAAAAAGTATTTCATGATTTTTTCAACAGTTTATGAGACTGGTCACAACTTGTGGTGATAAACACTTAGGATAAGAGTAGTTTTTGAAACATTAAGTTTCAATTGACATTTCATTCTTTGCTTTGAACACTACAATTGTAGTCTTCCCTATTGCAGAAAACATTTGTGTAAAACAGGCTTATCACGTGAGACAAATGGATATTTTTTAAAGTGCATTAATGTATATTGTTATCAGCAAAATGGCTAAACGACAATATACCTGAAGCGAATCGCCCACTTTTAACGGGTGTATAGGTGGATGAGCCTTATCACTTGACTTTCCGTTCTTAGGATTAGGACCACGCTCAAGGATTCTGGAGGCAAAATCTTGATTAAATAACGAATTAGAAGAAAGAGGAATTATTAATTTATGAGACCAAAATGCCAATAAAAACACACGATAAACCCACAGATTGCTTATGTGTAGTTTTCTGAATGATCAATAAACTCATAGATGTTTTTTAAAATTACAATTAGTGCAACTCATTGATCAAGTACAGGTGTTCATGTGATCGGTTTTCAGTCATATCATCTGAGTAAGGCGTAACTCTATACTACTCTCCTAGTCGAACTGAAGTTGATAGAGTGGGTATAAAATTGGCGATCGAAGCCATATGTTTGAACAACTAAGTAACCACTTTAACTCACATATGAACGATGACCAAAGTTTTAGCTGATTTTTGTTTCACATTTAATGAAGAGAAATATATAGACTAATTGATGTGTGACAGAGACTGTTTTACTACTTTATAAAACAATTACTTAACCAATTCCGTCATATAAATTCGAAGTCAGGTTACATCAAAACGAAATATATGAAAAATGGTAAATAGCGTGAGATTCCATGTATTTTGTTTTAATGAGAGACATGGCTAAAAACAAACCGGAAATACAAGAAAATTGTAGGTCAATGACAATCAACGTTTAATACAATAATATTAATATTTAATGGAATCAATGTATTGCTAATAAAGTCTTCTACGCTGTCACTGAATCTAATCGATGTATGAATTGACTGAATGACTTATCACTGCATTTGCATTAGGAAAAATGCTGGGAATGTATGACATTCGAAATCATTCATGAAGTTGGTGAAAAATAGTAGACTCAGGACAATGTTCGTCATAAATTAACAATACTGGTGAGATGCAGCTACTCTCTCAACAAGGATAAAACTAAACATTTTCAAATTTCTTAATTAATTCTTATGAGAGCTTAACCCCAAGTACTTTTCAATGCCAGTCAAATAATTGTTTTACAAAACTTACCAGACCATCGAGAATCATTTATTTGAACTCGCACTAAGCTTTTAAGATCTAAATCCGGTGGGAATATTTTAGTTTCTGTACGGGGATATGAAATAAAACCTTTGTTGTAAAGACGCTCAGCCAACTGCATTGCATATCTAGCTCCCATATGTAACTTGCGAGAGGCCAATTTCTCCAATTCCTTCGTAGTAAATGAAACAAATAAAATAAGTTCTTGAACAAAAAACGATTCGTTAAACTTCAACTGCTTAAAAATGGTAACTAATATCCCAATGAAACGTAAACCACTAACACTTTTAATTCAAAGACGCTACTTATTATTGACAGACACCTGGATCTTGAGAAGCAATCAATGTAAAGATAAATTACTAAAATATGATAATGGTATTAATTGTATAGTATTTCCAGTTATATTTTGTTTTGTCTTATCAGTTTCTAACAAATGAACCACTTTATCACCCCCCCATACACACGTAATAAGGTTCACCATCCCCGACCATTGGTATATTATACGCAATCATCTGGTAGATTGATCGATTCTATAACTTATCACTTTTTTTAACTGAGTTGAATTTCCTGCAGGAGAACCACGATTACTCAGTTCTTATCTCGGAAAATATCTGCTATGCTCAATAGTGGTACAAAATGATGGATGTGCTTCAGTAAATGAAACACCAACAAGAATATTGAGTGGCTCCTGAGTGTAACCACGCTTTTAAAGATTTAAAAGTAATGTTTGGCTTGAATCTACAACTACGTCCTAGGAAGTAATTTTAATCATTCATTGAAGGGAATTGATTATTATCGGAAGGCTTGAAAGGGTTTTCAGCCAGCAAGAATTCCAGAACACCATAGTATTATTATTATTAGTTCCATTCAATACTATATTTTTGGTACAATATAGGATTCTCAGAACAAAGTATTTCAACAAGTTTCCGTGTTTTACTTCTTGGTCGATCTTGACGATAAATGTTGAGTTAGAAGTTAGCGGTCCAGTAAATTGACATCTAAATAATGTACATTCTCTTCGTTGCATATTGCCAGCAACCACGATATCTTTGATTGGGCGTTTTGTAACTTGTACAACTTTTCGTTGTACACTTTTCAAAAAGGCACCTGAATAGGTTATGCGTTTAATATGCATAATGATGTATGAAAACAAACAAAAATAGATAACTTGTTGAAATATCTAGATGGCAGGAACAGATAGTCCAGATATTCAAGCAGTCAGCGAACAGTTTAGTTCATTTAGGAAGAATAAATCCAAACGTTTGTAATGATGAACAATAAAGAAGAATATTGTATACGTTTCAAATGTTCATCATTTGTTTCAAATAAATTTAACATTACGTAGAAAATTAGTAATAAAAATGTTTATGATATCCCGATGAGTAGAAAATTGTATTTTTGACATTTTGCGATTTAATGTAAGTCACTTTTTCAAAGTAAATATAAAAATGAAGAAATGTACATTAAGTCACGAAACGTCAGAAATACAATTTTCTGTTTATTTTTTTGTTATTCTTATGATCAGGTGTTCAAACAAATAGATTCTACTGACAATATAACCAAAACTGATTTAAAATCTTCATTTAAGTATGCATTTCATGTTCATAATCATATTATAAAACGGCGAATACATAAGATATTTGTCACGTTTTCTACACGTTAAGCTTGACAATTAGTTGCTCGATCAAGTATACACTCTAGACATAATTGTGACAAGAATGTCAGTGGTTTTATTGAAAATATTGAAGTATATAATTCAATTCAATGGTTTTTTCAGTGGTACGCCGCAGATCAATCCACTTAATCATAATGACAATAAAAAGTATATTTCACATCTATGATCCATTTAAATCAAACGCCGGATGAAGACTATGTTGTAACTCAAATATCTGCGGAACATGCGTGTTTGACCACCGTCGTCTCTGAAGGATTGCTGACATCCAGTGGCAACACCATGTTAGTAATGCAGAGGTTCGGCATCGTGTGTTCGGGCACAGAGACGACAATCCAATCAGTGTCACCATCTTGAAACACCGACTTCGGTGGCTTAGACATGTTCTACGAATGTCGTCCCAGAGAATTCCACGTCGTGCATTATTTGCCGACTCTGGGACTGGTTGGAAAAAGCGAAGAGGTGGTCAGTGTATGACATGGTTTCGTCGTATGAAAGAAAGCTGTAAAGGGCTATCTTCTGTTGGTCCTTCTCGACTCCCTGGCTGGGGTCCGAAAGATGGTGTAACACAGTGGCTAGAAACGTTATCAGATATGGCTCAGAATAGAAGCCAGTGGCGATCCTGCTGTAACCTTTCACTTTCTTTATAGAAAGTGGTTGTAACTTCTTCAGCTCAAAGAATTCTTTCTGGTTGTACCTCTCCGTTTCCCCCTATTATTATTATTGTTATTTCACTACCATACACTAATCTGTGGTCGTTATTGTTCTCTTTTTTTCTTACACGCACCTTACATTCTTTTTCTCTTCCCATTCTAATTGTTTTGTGTGGCGCATATATATCTGGTGCCCCCTTGTACCAATATTTATGTGTTCAAATAAATAAATAATAAAATACAAACGTCACCGCCATCAGCTAGGGAGAGCTACACGGAAATGTCGTCGACCCGAATCCACATTCAAGTAGAGTAAATACTCGTTTAAAGAATGGAAGATGATGTACCCCTATATCAGTTTACAAACTCAGATGGATCACATTCTGTCGCAAGGCACATAGTGGGTGCAAAATACAAGTGTGAATGGGCTATCAAGGGTATGTGAATTATTTCACCTAGCCAAAGTCGTCCGCAAACATACTACCATCTGGGTCATATGATATATGGTAAGTTCAGGAATGCTGCAGATCCATTTTGATACCATCTTACCAATTGTCGTGGCAATTGAAGCTTGAAGTTACGGTGTAAGTGCACATGTATTTCCTGACACAAAGAGTGGATGCACCTGTGTACACCGTTGCAAACGATTTTGAGCCATGTCATTCAGGGTCTCTAACCATCGGTTGCTATCGTCTCGCGGATCCTAACCAGGTAGTCTACACCTACCAACATGGCTCAGTCCACGTGTCAGTGACTTCATGGATTTGTGCCATTTTTTGGTCTGGCCGCCCCTAGCTTTCTTACAACCTACTCCTATATGATTGAACATCGCACGTCGGGGCATTCGATGGTTGGGCATACGTAACACGTGCCCCAGCCATCTCAACTGATGAAGTTTCACTACTTCACCAATTGATTTGCCATCCTTACCTAGCACTCGTTTCCTAAAAACTGCTTAAAGGAAAAGAAGTGAAAAGAATGTATGTATGAAGAAATACTGAATCTCAAAAGCTAGAGGAGAATGAAGAGTGAACGCATGTTTTGTCAATGACAACGATTTTGAGCAACATCATCCATCACCAACCACATGGTTACGATAACCGTGCGGACTCCAATCAGGTACTCTGTACACACCGACATGACTTCATCTAAAAGTCAATGACTTCGTGGGCTGACGCTACGTTTTGGTTTGACCGCTCTTACCTTTTCTCCAACCCACTTCGACACCTGAAAACATCCCACGTCGAAGTAGGGGGTGGTTAGACATAAGTAAAACAGGTTTCAACCGTCCCAGTCAACGAAAAATCACTACTCCATCAATCAACTTGTCATTTTTAATAGTCGGGACCTAACCACAATATTGTTTATTCAGTGGTAATACTTCCAAGACATTTATGATTAAAAGCTTGCAGCCTATAGACATTCCTTACTCTCGAAGATCAGGTTTCACGACCACAGTGTAATTAATATCGAACTTCTGCCCATTACCTTCCCCATTTGATTACTAAATGGACATCACGTCTACACTACAAGTTGGCAAAAGTGAAGCAAGCATTCTAAATCCGTGCGCAGATTTCGTTATATAAATCAACCCAACAGGACTGCCAAGATAACTGAAGTGGTCGGTGAGCTCAACCATTCAACCCCTATGGTCATTAAAAGAGCGCCGCAAAAATTCTTGTATTACTAAACAAAACATTTAGTAAACCGTAATTTGTCACCATGTTTACCAAACAAGACAGTCAGTTGAGTAATTCATGACGAGAAGTGAGGTTCCAAGACAATCAATCCCTGAAAAGTTATATGACGAGTGTGATTTCTTAAAGGATATCTATGACGAAGGTAAATAAAATTGGAGAGTAAGAAGAAGTAACAAACACCACTTGAGGTATAACAAATCCGATGACAGATCTTCATAGGCTCTGGCCTGACTAATAGCTTTCAAGTAAAGACTCTGCAAAATCTATGTACCGCCGTACTTAGATCAGTGCAGAGAAAATGACATTGAACATTAATCTTAAACTCACTACAGTATCCAAGGCAGTTGGACGCCATTTTGTTTTCGGACGCTTAATAACTTCTACAATCTGACCATAGCGATTCTGGTTGAAAAATTAAAAAAGCGAACCACACAATGAACAATAAGATGTTTTGGAATCTATTAGAAATATTGAAATATTGGTGGTCCCAGTACAATCTTAACTATCCTTATTCGCAACCTTTGTCAATAATAAATTCCTTAATTAAAAAAGCCTAAGAGATTAGTTAGTTTGGATGGGAAAGTGTATCTTTTCATCTCAATAAAATTTAAACTGACTTAGAATTTTGCTAGAAATAGAAATTTGCATGACACACACAACAATAAACCTACAACACTTGCATCGCCTATTTTTTATTCCATCGAAATAAGATAAAACGTTGAAGCACTATAAAGTTATGATTTTATTGCATAATTATTGTTCAACAGGTTTTAGTTTTTGATTGAACTAAACTTCGAACTATTAAAATGTTATACCGAAACCAATAGGTCAAAAGTTGAAGTTCCATTTTATAAATTTTACAGGAACTCAATCATGAGCTAAATGAATAGTTTTAGAAATATTTGGGATTGAGTATACAGCAGACATCAGATACAAAGTATACTTATTAGAAACCTTGTTTAAAAAGCTGACAAATACACAAATGTTGTTTGAGGGATAATGATGCTATACAGTTAACAGACACATAGCAAGTAGGGTAATGTCTAGGCCTGTAACCTAATAGCAGAGTAAAGAACTTATAACACTGAGATGCAGTTCTGCATCAATATAGTATGACTTTTAATAACCTCTAAAGTTATATTTTTGTAGAGTAAGATTATCGATGAGTGAGTGTATCTCCTTAAATAACAGAAGCTGAGATGAGTCTCTGCTTTTATGATATAAAAAGTACTCGGAACAGATGCACTCACTTTTTATTTCTTCAGATTTATGTTCTAAAAATACCGTATACTTGTTACTTCATGAATTCATTCCTGATTTTCATATTGTCTTTTCCGAATCTCTTTTACTATTAGTGATACTGTTACTACTTTTACTACTATACAACTTGTCTTGATAAGTTCATCATGCAATACTGATGTGATATGGCAACTTGAACCGATGCGCACATATGTAAGACTGTATGTTACTTACGAGTGACTGACTGACACAAAGTATAAGCTCAGGTGAAACAACATATTACGACTTATCAGTGCATGAATCGAATAACTAACTAACATCAATAGTTAACAAGTTTTGTACAGTAAACAGTGACTCTCATGGTAAAAAAAATCATTTTCTTGTTTAAAATAAAACTTTAGTTTAGAAAAACCAAAGATAAACTGTATAAAGTCATTGTACACCATTAACATACTTGATGTAAATGTTCATAGTATGCTCTGCAACAATCTTGATCGAAAAGACGTCCACTGAAGTAAAAGGAAGGGAAATCAAAATATTAGTCCCAAATACAGTGACAACTACTGTTTAACAACAACTAATTGAAAAACACTATTCAACGTACCGTTGCCACTGAAATTCCGTTGTTTTCTCATCGCGTGATACAGTGACTAAAATTACAGATCGAAAGACCAAAAATATATGGATGAACTTTGGCTAAACAACGATCGTCATTCACAGGTTATGAACATAAATCGAGTAAGAAAGCCGTAATAGTGATCAGTTGGACAGTCACAAACATAGGATATGGCGCGGTTCAAGTTGCCACATTTCAAAACACATCAAAGAAATTAACAAGACGTGGGGAAAAAGGGGAAAGAAATTGATTATGAATACAGCGGTCTTGAGTAATGTTGGAGGCATGAGGGTGGTTATCACTACCCGACTGCCCACACCGTGGAAAGGTTTTCCCATAGGTTTCTGAAGAGGAAATTGGGTTTGAGGTGATCTTAGTGATCTGAGAGCGTAACTACAGTACCCAAGGGACAACTGCTTGAAACTGGTCACACACGACCTTTTTGTGAGTAATTTTCGTGTTAGCTCCGTACTTATTGGGACCTTACTGCCATTGACGGAAATCCATAGGGTAAGGCGAGGTGTGTATTTTTAGGGTCGACTTTTTCTAATTCTGTTCTTTCTTGTGGGAAGGTAGTATCGCTGTTATGCTAGTTGTCTGAAGGAAACATCTTACTGCCGTCACACCTCTGTATAATCAACAGTACGAATTCGCAATCGAACTTTGAGTTTGCTGTTTTTATTCTTAACGCTCTTCAACCAACCTGTATGACATGGTAGGACCTTGAGGAACGATTGTTCCGGCCAGTATAGCCCGATTGGTTCATCACGATAAGAAGGTTCGACCACCACTTCAAGGTAGCAGCAACGGTCGGGAATACAGTTCAAAAGAAAGATAAGGAATGATGTTACTCGCAAAATTTAGAGGAAGATAAAGAATAAATACATCTGCACTACTGCAACCGACTGTCAGCTATACCATTTAAGATCCTCAACCGCAAATTACGATTACCTCATGGATTCTGTCTATGAAGTTTGAACTTCCAAACTCACTCTAATCTAACAATCAACAACTTCATATACTGATGCTATTTCTGGTCCGGGCGAAATGAGCGGTAGCTGGGCAGGCTCTCCATGTGCCATAAATCCAGTTAATGAATGTTCTCCAAACTGTCCAACTTGGTATCTCAATCAACTACATTACACTCAACCTTATCAGCACTCACCCGACGGCTCCACTAGGAGTAAACAATAATTTAAAGACATCAGTGGTCGAATGCCGGCAAACTACTCAAACTTTCTTTAAAAGCTATACTTCATATCTGCAAATTAATATAAGAGTGATATATGGTTGAAGTTGGTAAAAGCCGACAGAACATTTTCTATCCATGTTGGTATTTTTGAGAGCTAAACCTCATTGAGGGTGAGGTCTCCGAAATAGGCAGTGGTAAACGCGTTAAACCACTTTCTCTCCTGGAGTAAGACGATGTATCGATCCGAAACGGTCCTTAAACAAAGTGGTAACATTGTACGATGAATGTATCTCAATATTGCAATGAAAATGCAGTATCTTACCATTTTCCAGTTGGATCTTTCACATTTATTTGTTTAAACATATAAATATCAGTACAAGGAGGAACCAAATATATATACGCCATACTAATCATTCGACTTGCATGAGGTCTGGAATACTGCTCAGGTAACCAAACCGAAGCAGGTGGTTGTCTTGGAGTGGCCACTCATCGAGTCTTTGACCTGAAGGTCTGATCCATAAGGCAGTGGAGCAACGTTAGGACATGCAGTCTCATGGTAGCCGGTGACCAACAATTGGTTCATACGACATTTGTTCCCTCAGGATACTGGAGCCCATATGCACCGTTGGTTTTGGATCAGGGTTTTCCAACCCTACTAGGTGGACTCTCCATGTCCACCAACCCGGTTAAAGCGCCGGACATTCGCTTTTCGTTCTCTCAATTCCGTAAAAATTAGAATTGCAGTGCGTAGAACTTCCCTGGCAGTAGTTGTGTGCACCTATCCATGTGAGAGCATGTCGAGAGGGAAACTGACTCTCCCTACCCTCGATCGTACCAGTGCATTTAGGGGTAATTTTTCATAAACCACTGTATTTTAGTGGTTTATAATCTTCTATAAACCACAAACATATAGTAAATTTAGAGATGGTACATAGAGATAAAACGTGTCATGATATTGCTGTGATGAAAGTACCACATTAAATTGCAATAAAGTATACGACCACATAATCGCCATAATTTAAAATGAAACATCATTTTAGTCCTGTATTTTGGTACTATTGACTGAAACTGAGATTAAAAATTTTTGATTTCACTCTAGCTACGAGTAGTGACTTAATTACGTGTTCCACGAAGTTTCAAATTTATTATTAGCATTACGATTAGAAGAAATATGTTTAAGAGTTGAACATTTGATAGACTTGTTAATGTAACTTATTCTCGAAGTACATGTTCATGTGCTTGTCTTTGCATCAGGGCTAATTATACCATCCGGCCATCCAAATCGAAGTGGAACTTGGAAACTAGTGGTTACAAATCAAGTACTTTAGCTCCAAAGGATACGAATATTTTTGAAGGTTTTTTGGTTATGTACTGCTAGTTCCGAATAAACTAACTAGTTATATGATTATATGTTAACAGACTCCACATTCCACGTCGACTACGGCGTATGTAGCACCTCATCTTCGAGCACACTACCATTTTAAAAATCACACAACCCTAAGATAAATAGTATGGTGTGTGCTGCTGTGCAGAAGCATTAAAACTATCCAGGTAAGTAATTTTACCATACGACACAACAGAGATGGATGTGTTAAATAGCTCTTACAGATGTTGATCACCATCTACTAAATCTATTATATTAGTCACCTCTATAAAGACTTACATTTTATAAAATATAATATAACTACGTAAATTTAATAATAACTTACCCACAATACGCCAAAATGGTTCAGAAACAAACTGGTCAACCTCTCGAAAGCGTTCTACAACGAAACCAAGAGTTGGGAACTGACAAGATCCATACGAGATCAACTGGTCACTAAGAGCTTGGGGGAAAACTCGCCTTAACCGCAAAGTCTGGAAGCGTGTGAAGGCAGCCCCAATACGTAAATCTAGCTCCTGGCGCGCGTCAACAGCTGTGCTGGCATTATAATCAGGATTTGTGAGCCCATTTACGGCACGATGAACAGCTCTAAAACAAAAATTTAAAGAAAAATCTTTAAGAGAGAAAATGGAGTATTCTCAAACAGACCATCCGTACAATCCATCTGAAAAACATTAAGTTAAGATAGGATTCACACTTAAAGTGTTCTGTTTATCGTTCTAAACGTTTGAAGTGAGAGGAGACAAGAGTGTCGTCTTTTTGACCTATTGATTCCGGTTTCTTTTATTAGTCTGAAAAACTGTTTGATGTTACCTAAAGCCACGGCTTTCTCCATCTCTTTTGCTTTTGTTGCCCAACACTACTCACAATCGTTCCGTGGACTTTTGATTAACCTACAATCTGATTTATTTTCGCTCGTCATCGTGTTCGGAGCCAGATGGAATGAGTTTATGAGTCTATCGGTGCAACAGATGAAGTGGAAACCCACTGATTTCTCGTGAACCTTTGGTTCAGGTCATTAATAGTTGTTGTCGGTTTCCACAACTGTTCGTAAATCTCTCCAAGCGAGACTTCAGTTGTTCCGTCACACTCTCAGGTCACTAGGGACAATCCTAACCCGATTTCCTTTTCAGGTACCTCTAGAAAAATCCTTCCACGGTGTGGGCGACCGGAAAGTGATAACCATCCCTATACCTCTGACAGCACCCAAGACTAATGTATCCATATATATATATATATATATTTGCGCATCACAAGAAAGCGAAGTAATAGCACCGTAAAAACGTAAAAGTGGGTAAACTAGCAGTAACGATAAAAAAATAATAAGTATTAGAGAAAATGGTCTACATAGAAACAGCCTAAATACATTTCGATCAGTTAGATGTATCTTGCCCTTTACCGACAATTAGTGTCGACTTTAGCCCCGAAATGCCCTGGTACGGCCGAGAGTGGGGAGAGTCCGCTTTCCCTCTCTAAATGCTCTCACATGACCACGCGTATATAGCCTCTGCCACGGAAGTCCTACTCACTGCCTTCTCGACTACAGGTGTTGTTTACGAAGTTGAGAGGACGTAAAGCGAATTTCCGGCACCGGCTTTAACCGGATCCCAAACCAATGGTGCATATGGGCTCCAGTATCCTGAAGGAACAAATGGCGTATAAACCAATTGTTGGTCACCGGCTACCATGGGACTGAATCTCCTTACGATGCCCCACTGCCTTGTGGATAGGCCTCTAGGTTGAGGGCCCTGGGTGTGGCCACTTAAGACAACCACCTTCTTCGGTTTGGGCACCCGGGCAGTGTCGCCGCCCTCATACAAATCAAATGAGATTTGTGTGGCGCATATGTATTTGGTGCTTCCTTGTACCAATATCTATGTGTTAAAATAAATAAATGTTAGCCGATTGTTTTACCCTAAACATGGCGTTTGTAAGGATTCTTAAATGTGACCTAAAATTTAATTAATTCACCATGTACTAGGGTATAGGCCACAGTAAGTGTGAAGCCGCCCTGGTGTGATCGAGGGTAGGGAGAGTCAGTTTCCCTCTCGACATGCTCTCACATGGATAGGTGCACACAACTACTGCCAGGGAAGTTCTACGCACTGCAATTCTAATTTTTACGGAATTGAGAGAACGAAAAGCGAATGTCCGGCGCTTTAACCGGGTTGGTGGACATGGAGAGTCCACCTAGTAGGGTTGGAAAACCCTGATCCAAAACCAACGGTGCATATGGGCTCCAGTATCCTGAGGGAACAAATGTCGTATGAACCAATTGTTGGTCACCGGCTACCATGAGACTGCATGTCCTAACGTTGCTCCACTGCCTTATGGATCAGACCTTCAGGTCAAAGACTCGATGAGTGGCCACTCCAAGACAACCACCTGCTTCGGTTTGGTTACCTGAGCAGTATTCCAGACCTCATGCAAGTCGAATGATTAGTATGGCGTATATATATTTGGTTCCTCCTTGTACTGATGTTTATGTGTTTAAGTAACATAAATAAATATGAAGTCCAGTGATACGACTTAGTTGCTCAAAGTAAAGTAGGCGGAGTAGAATTTGAATGTGGGACATAGTGGCTGGAAGTCGAATCCCTTTATCCATTAATCCATTGCTCCAGTTTTGAAATAGGAACAAGAATGGGGCTCAGTGTGCACAAAGCATACAACTGTCTTTCAGCCCAGAATACAACAAGAGCGTCATGTGAGTTACACAAACATTACCGATACTGCTCTTATGATGTATTTTGTAGTGAATATAAAAAACCCAATTTGATGACGGACAGACGTGCTAAGAGCATGCTTAGTTGCCAATCAAATTTTAAGGAACCAAGTACAAAACATTTTATTTTATTTATTTATTTGAACACATAGATATTGGTACAAGGAGGCACTAAATACATATGCGCCATACAAATCTCATTTGATTTGTATGAGGGCTGTGATACCGCCCGGGTGCCCAGACAGAAGCAGGTGGTTGTCTTGGAGTGGCCACTCATCGAGTCTTTGACCTGAAGGTCTGATCCATAAGGCAGTGGAGCAACGTTAGGACATGCAGTCTCATGGTAGCCGGTGACCAACAATTGGTTCATACGACATTTGTTCCCTCAGGATACTGGAGCCCATATGCACCGTTGGTTTTGGATCAGGGTTTTCCAACCCTACTAGGTGGACTCTCCATGTCCACCAACCCGGTTAAAGCGCCGGACATTCGCTTTACGTCCTCTCAACTTCGTAAACAACACCTGTAGTCGAGAAGGCAGTGAGTAGGACTTCCGTGGCAGAGGCTATATACGCGTGGTCATGTGAGAGCATTTCGAGAGGGTGAGCGGACTCTTCCCACTCCCGGCCGTATCAGGGCATTTGGGGGCACTACAAAACATTAACCAATCAAAAGATATTGCTAACAAACAACTCACGCAGGTGTAATTTCAGAAAACCGAGCACGGAGAACTTCAATATTTGGTTTGACTGTAATAAATATTATTCGACTGACGCTTGCAAGAACAAAGACCTACCTTCTTTACAAACATCAATTACTTCGACGCCAATGTTTTCACCCTCACGATCGCAATCAGTCCATATAATTAACTTTTGACAGCTTCTCACTTCACGCTGTAATGTTTGCTAAGAAGTTAAAAATACTTGCTTTTATAAACTTCCCCTCACACACTATTTAAAAAGGAAAGTGAAATTATATTCATTGAGAAAATCTTATAATTCTGGTCGTTTATAAGGTGTAGAAACTACCGTTTGGGAAAATCCAGTTGGACTAATTACAGTTAAGGCATCAAGTGTACCTTCTGTACAAGATTTTTATGCACTTATTCTCTTAAGTGAGTTAGTCGTGATCATTTATATAGACTGAACAATGCTGTTTTAAACTTTGATTGAAATGGACGCTTGGCATTATAGTGGCCTGCCGCAGCTATCATAAGCTATAAAAATTTGGGGACGTATTTATCGGAAAATTCTTTTGAATAAAATCTAGTTGACCTGCTTAAGCGTGACCCAGTGTAACGTGTGGGAGAAACAACTAGATAAGACCCGGACTTTGAAACATTACTAACTTGCATACCGATCAATTACCGGGGTGATGCGACACACTTTGACTATATGCTAATTCCAGGCAAGTCACCAGGCCGTTTTAGTTTTTGAAGCAATATTAACATTAATGTGTCAGCTCAACACCTAGAACAACTGTCTGGAAAGTAAATCGACAAGGAATTATTCATGAAGTAGTAGAACCTCCTAGTGGAAAATCTAGAGCCTCAAAGCACGTATGTTAGGACCTTTTACAGTTTCTTCTGACACAAACTTCAGTACTACATTTAAGTGCCCGGTCACTACCTAAAAAAAAGTGGGTTTTTAGAAGAAACTCAAGGAAATGCAACTAAGATGATTCCCAGAAATATGACGTCCTTACCCTCTTTATCTTCCAAAAGAGAATTCACCTGGATACCCCGAAAAGTTTACAGGGTTAGAACTAATTACTTGTCAGCTGAATATCAACTTCCCCAGCCACCCGGTGAAAATCCTTGTCTTAACAAGCGGTTAGGGCTTCAACGCGTTCAGAAGAATGGGTCAACAGAGACCTCTATTGCGGGAACGATACATAACACAAGTAAATAAACCTTAATTATATGTAAGCCGGTAGAACTAAAGTTATGAGGGGCATTATTCCAAGTTGATTATAAATGGAAACAAATTCAAGACTTTGAAGTTTTCCTCCAATAAACTGTTCACTTCAAATCAGACATCGAGACACAGGAGGAACACTCTCGTGATTGGATTTCTTAACATGGCACACAATGCAGGTGATACTGTTTATTCCGTCAAAAGACAACACAGAGAGTACATAAAATCTAAAAATGAATGTTAATTCATAAGTACACCTTAACTATATACAAAATACATGAATATTTAATAGGATCCCCATGATACAGACCAACTAACCTTTATTGGTTCGTAATCTTTGAGAACTTGTTTAACAATCGGTGCGTCGAAGAGCACCATTGGGTTACAAGAATGCCTATAAAGTATAACAAGGACAAACAAGAAACCACCATGACTTGTAATTTGAGGGAAAATCATAATTAGTCAAATGGCCTGACACAGACGTCATTACCATCATGACGCTTTGGTTGTTGAGATTCATAGGGAACTCGTATATTTTGTTAAACTTCGATATTCCTTCTCTCTATAGACTGATATTCTTAAGATATCGACGAAATACCCTATGGTATCCTCCGCGACTCAGAATCTCAGAAATATTTTTAGCAGCATCATTTTTTTCAGCAACATTTAGAATTTTCATCGTAAATCTACGAACACCAGACGCTGTGGGGAAATCACTGATAACCAAAAGTAAGCGCAGACACTTGAAAAACATCAGCAGTTTACATTGGTTTGCCGCTGATGTTCAATATACAATATCCCTGTGACAAAGCAAATAAAATAATAGTGGATGAAATAAAATCCTTTATCTTAAGAGGCCGGTCTTTCTGGTTAAATCGAATGGTCGGCTCAATCAGGTACGGAGTTAGAGACTTTAAAAAGCAAAAAATAGGCTCTTTATTAAATCACTTAGAAGTAAAGATAACACAGACCTTAGCACCATGGGAATCGTTTCTCGGCAAAACATCCTTATCAATGCTTGGATTGTAAAGTTAAAATTTGGTGGAGTTGTGAAAAATCTTTAGGCCACTTTGACAAAGTGCATATTATTTGCCAAGAAACAGACCACAACAATCTGTATGAATTCTCTGCCAGGCCTCAGACGATACTGGCCTTAGGGTCCATTTTCAAGGCTTACTTTTTAACTTATGACATTTTCCACAGTTATTTGCTTCACGACATACATCTGTATTTATCTCTGGCCATCAACATATGAGCCTTGACGAGGACTGCATTTTCTCAACACCTAATTGTCCAGAATGAAGATCTTCAAAGACAGATTTACTTAGGGAAGGTGGAATAGCAACACGGTCGTGTAAACTCGAAATACCGTCAGGTGTAGTGGACAACTTGTCCCACCTTGAAAAATAGACAAGAAATCTACGTTTCAGATTAGCATATTAACCTTTCTGTATAGCATTGAGTATATATCCAACGTATCTACGATTTTTCTAATGAGATGTGGATGTCTCACCAGTAAGGTTTGCACTAACAAACAGTCTGAAGTATTAGTTGGTCTATCTTGCGATAACTGTCAGGAAATGTAGTCAACGTGTTGAATTTGTTTGGCACTCCTGTGCTGAACCCTATAGTCACAAGCACTCAAAACAATACTACTTCGCTGAAACATAGCAGCTGAAGAACATACCAAGAATTTTTCAGGATGATAAATAAACTTTAATGCTTCATGATCTGTAACAATAGTGAATTTTTTCCAAACAGATATGTTACGGGAGAACTGACGACACTTGGCTGGTTAAAACCTTTCTATTGTATATAATTAATTTTACTGTCTTTTTGGATGTATTTGCTTCACTCAACTTATGAACCTGTTTGTTTATATCATTATTTTCGGACTTTTTGGTTTCTTGTGTCTTTGGTTTGGTATCTGGGAGATTTTACAAAATTGAAGGATTGGAGTTTGGTTCTATTGTTAATTTGGGTTCATAAATTGCCAATAGATCGATATACCGTACTTCAGTAACGGGAACGAGGAAAACTTGGACGAAACATGGTATTTATGAAGTGTTTTGAAGTCACAAAACACAAATAATGCTTCTCGCTGAGTTCGTGAATAAACTTGTTCCCTGACAGTAAGTTTACGTGAAACACAAGCTTTATTTTATTTATTTATTTATGGCTTTATTCAATATTATATTTTGGTACAATATAGAATTCTCAGCACAAAAATATTTCAACAAGTTTCTTTTACAGAACAAAAAAAACAGTTAAAAAAAATCTGAAAAAAAAACTGTACAACTTTTCAATTAGAGTCATGTTAACAATGCAGATTATTGACTAGGTTAACTCTAACAACCTGTTCGTCACAGAGTACATTTGCTAGGTAAGGTATTATAGATCGTTTATACTTTTACTTGCGTGCTTGGATTTTAATGTAATTTCGTCTCGTTCTACCAGAAGATATACAAGGAGAAAGATATGAGTGAAGGGGATGGTTAGTATCTGATAAAATAACATCTGCTAGGAGTTTGCATGACTTTAGATGTCTATCCACAACCATATTAATTATGGTCTCGAAAGATTCACCACATAACTTGCTAACTGCCTTCAGCGCTCTCCGCAGTACAGCAAAGTCTTCTCTCAAAAGCCCGGGAAAGAATAACGGAGAACAGTACAGAATAATAGGTAATATGCAAGAATCGACAAATTGTAGGAGTAAATGACGAGTGATCCCAAAAGCATGCAACCTCTTAATGTAGTAAGTCAGACGGAAAACTTTCTTCGATAACAATAAAACGTGAGAAGACCAAGAGAGATCAGAGGAAAAGGTAACACCAAGATAATTGACCGTCGACACTGTGTTTATCAAAGAGTCGCCAATGGCACAAGCATTATGAGATCTCAAAATGGTGTTTAAATGCCGATCATGTCTCATGCTAAAGTTAACAGCTTGACATTTAGACAGATTAAGTATGAGACCATTAACGACAGACCAACTATCAATGCGAGATAAAAACTCGTTCATTTCTATAGGATATAAAGAGGAAGAGATAGGCATACAAACAGTGAGATCGTCTGCATATTTCACGAAAGTGTTTACTGTGGAAGATGGCAGATCATGCAGAAAAAAAAGAGAAAAGAAGAGGTGAAAGAACAGCTCCTTGTGGTACACCTTCATAAGACAATAGAGACTCTGAACACTTTCCTCCAAACACCGTGTACTGTTCCCTTCCAGAGAGGTAGGAACATAGCCAGTTGGTTATCCAGCTGTCAGTGCTGACGCTGATTAACTTGTTAAGTAAACGTTGCCTTGATATAGAATCAAAAGCAGAAGTATAGTCCAGGAAAGCGCATCGAACATAATTCTTACCCTTTTCTAGGTTGATCACTATATTATGATGCAGAACAGCAACAGCATCTAGGGGGCTTCTTTTGCATCTGTAAGCAAACTGATACTGGTCAATGTGCTCTTTTATCGCAGGCTGAAGTGAAAGTGTCAATAATTTTTCCATTGCTTTGAGGAAGGATGAAGTTATCGCAATGGGTCTGAATTTCACATTCTTATCACCAGATGCTTTCTTGGGTATAGGGATTATCTTCATCTTTCTCCACATTTTCGGTATGAGATTAGAAGAGAAGGATCTATTAAAGATAGTGGTGAATGGATAGCATAGGACGTCAGCACACTTTTTGAAAAGGAGGTTTGGGATACCATCAGGTCCCAAACATCGGGATGAATTTGTAAGCATAAGTCTTGTTCCTCGCCCATTTGGATGAATCAGATGTCAATATTTGAAGTAAATAATTGGCACAACAAGAGAATTTATGAACAAAACGGGAATAGTATTGAAGAGTACCCATTAATGAACGTAGTGCTTTAAAATTTTTTGAAGCTAGTCGTTCAGAAGAACGATGAAAGCTTTACGAACAAACCATCCAGTTCGATGGACAAAACTACATCGAAAATATGTTGTGTTCTGCATGGAACTGACAGTCGTTTTGTACAATACTCAGTCGTCGTGCTACGCTGATTTGATCTTGTCTCATCGAAAAATCTAGCTACGTTTTAAGACAAGCATTTGGTGGAATTACTTAGGCGGGATACAGTGTTTATGAATGAATGGGAAAATGCACTAAATATTCGTCCAAAAGACACAGGTTTATTGGTTGAGATGTGTTGCTGAGTCACTTAAAAGTAGGTCTCTATGTTGACTATTTGTAATTCAAATTGTGAGATAATTTGTAAGTTAAACAGACTTTTTGAGGATGTTGCACGGACGCCTTTGTAACATAGATCAGAAACCCAATAAAATAATTTTGCAAACACAAGTTGAATATTGGTCGCATTCGAAACTAAAAGTGATGTAAAACATATTTTCTGCAGATGATAAATTACGTCGACTGTATGTGCAATATGAAAGTCAACAGTTGCTGTTATGTCTTTTATCTGTCAATCTAATAATATACAGGAGAGAACATATCTCGATATAGGTTTAGGCCTTGACATGAAGGACCAACTAGTCCAACGTCGGGGATATAAACTCTGTTTTCAGACCAACGGCCTTGGTCAGAGAAACGAAAACCATTCTATCACTCAATTGGTTGATAAGTAAAAGGGTGAAAATGAGTTAACCCGAATACTTTCAATAATGTTAAAAGAGATATGGATGAATCGATGACTAATATAACCAACAATTAGAAGAATAAAGTTATGTTTAAACTAGGAATTAGGGTAATATAATGGGGTACAAAAGGTTACGTTAAATTACAATGCTTTTGGAATAGAGAAGAATATTGTAGTGAAATATACATCACACGAAAGCTTATAGTTTATAGAATAACTTAACGACAAAACTAAAAGCTAGTATTTAACAAACTTTAAATTATGTGAAGTAATGTCCCCAAAATAGCTTCCGCTGTTCGTCACGTTTTCCTCATTTCTCTATTAATATCAGCTTATTTTGTTTGCTAGTCAAATGATGCAAACGAGTTGTTATCATTTAAAATGAAATGATATACTCGTGTCTTTCGTAAAATTTATTACAATAATTTGGAGAAAAACTGAAGTATCTGTTCATGAAAACTGCTTCAACATTTAGAATTGAAACTTGAACCGATCAAGGATGTGAAGAACTTTGTTTATTCAGCAATGACTTCCTTCGAAAGTTACGAGGCTGATATGCCTTCTGACAACCAGTGCAACCGTTAGTTCAGTCACATGGAATTTTCATACAATGTGGGAGACTGGAAGAGTCTTCCAAATCGCGGCAGGAATGAAAAGTTACAACATGGAGGTGATTGGAATCAGTAAAACACATTAGGCGTAGGTTGGACAACAACGACTGGCTTTAGGGGAGCTTCTGTTATACTCCGGTCATGGGGGAAAAATCTCCCATATACACAAGGAGCTGCATTGATGCTGTCCAAACAACCACAAAATACACTTAAAGGATGGGAATCTCATGAACCAAGGATCATCAAAGCCTCATTCGAAACAAAGAAAGGGGGCATTACAATGAACGTCATCCAATGCCATGCGCCTTCCAACGACTACAGTGAAAATGTTAAAGATTGATTCTACGGTATGCTGCAGTCAATTGTCAAGAAGTGCCCAGCAAAGGAGTTGATCATTCTGATGGGAGAACTAAATGCCAAGGTTGGAATGGACAACACCGGATATGAAGAGATCATGGGACGACACGGACTAAGAGAAAGGAATGAAAATGGTGAGAGATTTACGAACCTATGTGCCTTCAATAAACTGGTCATAGGTGGCATTACATTCCCACATAAACG